AAATGATGACCACAGTGATCATGGCTTCACATTTCTCTTCCCCTGATACTCAGCAGGAGGGCTCAGGCCCTAGGCCCTTAGTAAGAGATCACTTGAAACATTGCCTATTTGTTTCTTGTCTTCTTGGCTGCTTAGTCATTCATGCCACTGGTGGTGTGGTTGCCAGGCTCTGCTGAGACCACATGAAATGGCCAAATCATCAGGCAGTGGGAGGCTTTCTGCCTGGTTTGTACTATATGTCTGTCTCTGTGGGCCCAAAGGTCAGAGATGGCTATCTTGATTTATCACAGTGTGGCTTCCAGGGAGCCTGGGTCTCTTCTTCACCCTTCACCCCTATACACTGTATGATCATGAGTTACTGTCCCTCTAGGAGGGATGGAATAGCCAGTTTATTCTCTGATTTACTGGTAGAGAACTGTAATGAGAAGAACATGAGGGCTTGCCCTGCTGGCACTTTAACCAGCAGAGTCTGGCCCATCTTCTGTTGGACCTCAGCCTTATCACAGCAATCCTGCCCTCCATTCTTATTCTCCTATGAATGAAGGAGGTTAATCCAGAAGGGTTTGGGATGCTGGTAGGAGTCTTCTTACTAACTGGGTACCAAAGCTATAGCTGTTGGTTTTCACACTAATCCTGTTCTCCTCCTGTGGCCCAGGACCTTGCTCCTGCAGTGGGGCATGGGAAGGGATGGATGGAAATGGAAGCTGCTTCTGGAGAGAGAAATCTGACCTGGCCATGGGAATCCTTCTCTGTCAGGCATTCCTCCTCTTCTCTGACTACTACTTTAGGGACCTGGAAAACCACTTTTCCATCTCATTTCCAATGTATCAGGCCAGCTCTGAGGCCTGGCTGCTCTGCCTTTTTATTTTTATTTTTTAAATTGAGGTCTTCCTTGTCCTGTCCTGCCTCATCTAACTCCTATGAACCCGTTAGGTCTTAGAAAAGTCATTCCTCTAGGACGACATTCTTTTTTTTTTTTTTTTCTTTTTAAGATTTTTAAAATTTATTTTTTTCAAATACATTTGTCTCTGCTTACTCCCCACCACTTTCCCTTGTCCCCTCCTCCCCTCCATCAACTCTTCCCCTTTAGTTTTGTCCATGAGTCCTTGTTATATGTTCCTTGACTTTCTCCTTCCCTTCCTTTTTCCCTGCCCCCCTCCCTCCTTCCCTCTTGTCTCTGTTGGTTTCTTTTCCTTTCAGTGTTGCTGGTCTTATTTTCCTTGCATCTTTGTATTGTTGGTTAGGTTCCACTTATAGGTGAGATCATATGGAATTTGTCTTTCACCCCTTGGCTTATTTCACTTAGCATAATGCTCTCCAGTTCCATCCATGCTGTTGCGAAGTTTAGTTCTTTTTTTTCTTTCTGCTGCGTAGTATTCCATTGTGTAAATGTACCATAATTTTTGATCCAATCATCGACTGATAGGCATTTAGGTTGCTTTCAACACTTGGCCATTGTAAATTGTGCTGCTATGAACATTCGGGTGCATAGGTTCTTTTGAAGTGGCGTTTTGGGATTCTTAGGGTATAGTCCCAGGAGGGAATCCCTGGATCAAAAGGCAGTTCCATTTTCAGGTTTTTGAGGAAATTCCACACTGCTTTCCACAGTGGCTGCACTAGTCTGCATTCCCACCAACAGTGGACTAGGGTTCCCTTTTCTCCACAGCCTCGCCAGCACCTATTGTTTGTTGATCTGTTTGTGATGGCCATTCTGACCGGTGTGAGGTAGTACCTCATGGTGGTTTTGATCTGCATTTCTCTGATGGCTAGTGATGCTGAGCATCCTTTCAAATGTCTCTGGGCCCTCTGTATCTCCTCCTTGGAAAAGCGTCTGCCCAGGTCCTTTGCCCATTTTTTGATTGGATCATTTGTCTTCTTGGAGTGGAGTCGAGTGAGTTCTTTATATATCTTGGAGATCAAACCTCTATCTGCTGTATCATTAGCAAATATATTTTCCCATAAAGTTGGCTCCCTTTTCATTTTGCTGATGTTTTCTTTAGCCATGCAGAAGCTTTTTATTTTGATGAGGTCCCACTTGTTTATTCTTTCCTTTATGTCCTTTGCTTTAGGAGACATATTGGTGAAAAAATTGCTGCATGGGATATCTGAGTTTCCTGCCAATGTTCTCCTCTAGGACTTTGATGGTGCTGCGACTTATATTTGTCTTTTATCCATCTTGAGTTTATTTTTGTGTATGGTGTCAGCTGATGATCCAATTTCATTATTTTGCATGTAGCCACCAGCTCTCCCAGCACCATTTGTTGAAGAGGCTATTATTGCTCCACTTTATGCTTCTGCCCCCTTTGTCAAATATTAGATGCCCATATAGACTTGGGTTTATTTCTGGGCTTTCTATTCTGTTCCACATGGGTCTGTTCTTGTGCCAGTACCAGATTGTTTTGAGTATGGTGGCTTTGTAGTAGAGTTTGATGTCCGGTATTGTGATCCCTCTTACTTTGTGTTTCTTTCTCAAAATTACTGCAGCTATTCGGGGTTGTTTATGATTCCATATAAATTTTTGAAATGTCTGTTCTATTTCTGTGAAATATGTCATTGGTATCTTAATAGGGATTGCGTTGAATCTATAAATTGCTTTGGGTGGTATGGACATTTTGATGATATTAATTCTTCCAATCCATGAGCACGGTATATGCTTCCATTTATTTGTGTCTTCCTTAATTTCTTTCTTCAATGTTGTATAGTTTTCTGCATACAGGTCCTTTACCTCTTTGGTTAAATTTATGCCTAGGTACTTTATTTTTCTTCTTGCTGTATCGAATGGTATTTTTTTTTTCTGATTTCTTCTTCCTCTATTTCATTGCTGGTGTACAAAAATGCCTTTGATTTCTGAATATTGACTTTGTATCCTGTTTTGCCAAATTCACTTATTAGGTTGAGGAGTTTTTGGGTAGAGTCTACAGGGTTTTTTATCTACACTATCATGTCATCTCCAAACAATGATAGCTTTACTTCCTCCTTCCCTATTTGGATGCCTTTTATCTCTTTTTCTTGTCTGACTGCTGTGGCTAGGACTTCCAATATGATGTTGAAAAGAAGCAGTGAAAGCGGACATCCTTGTCATGTTCCCGATCTTAGTGGGAAAGCTTTCAGTTTTTGCCCATTGAGTATGATGTTGGCTGTAGGTTTTTCATATATGGCCTTCATTATGTTGAGGGCATATATGTTGAGGAATGCCCCATTTATTCCCATTTTGCTGAGTGTTTTGATCATAAATGGGTGCTGTACCTTATCAAATGGTTTTTCTGCATCTATCGAGATGATCTTGTGGTTTTTGTCTTTTATTTATGTGATGTAATATGTTTATTGACTTGCATATATTGAACCATCCCTGCATGCCTGGGATGAATCCCTCTTGATTGTGGTGGATAATCTTTTGAATGTATTGCTGGATGCGGTTTGCCAATATTTTGTTGAGGATTTTAGCATCTATGTTCATCAGCGAAATTGGCCTGTAGTTTTCTTTGTTTGTAGGGTCTTTATCTGGTTTTGGGATCAGGATGATGCTGGCCTCTAAAAAGAGTCTGGGAGTCTTCCCTCCTCTTGGGTTTTTTGGAATGGTCTGAGACGGACAGGGGTTAGCTCTTCCTTAAATGTTTTGTAAAATTCTGTTGTGAAACCGTCCGGCCCTTGGCTTTTGTGTGCCGGGAGTTTCTTGATTACTGCTTTGATTTCCCCAGCTGTTATAGGTCTGTTCAAGCTTTCTGTTTCTTCCTCCTTCAGTGTTGGGAGATTATACTTTTCTAGAAATGTGTCCATTTCATCAAGGTTTTCAAATTTCTTGGCATATAATTGTTCATAGTAGTTTCTTACAATCCTTTGTATTTCTGTGGTATCAGTTGTTATTTCTCCGATTTCATTTCTGATATTATTTATTTGGGTCCTCTCCCTTTTTTTCTTGATGAGTCTACTTAAAGGCCTGTCAATTTTATTTATCTTTTCAAAGAACCAGCTTCTGGATTGGTTGATTCTTTGAATTGTTCTTTTCGTCTCTGTGTCATTCAGTTCTGCTCTAATCTTGACTGTTTCCTTCCTTCTACTTGCTCTGGGATTTATTTGTTGTTGTTTCTCCAGTTCTTGAAGTAGTGTTAGGTCTTTTATTTGAAATGTTTCTATCTCTTTTAGGTAGGCCTGTATTGCTATGAACGTCCCTCTCAGGACCGCCTTTGCTGTGTCCCATAGGTTTTGGACTGTTGTATGTTCATTTTCATTGTTTTCCAGAAATTTTTTGATTTCTTCTCTTATCTCATGATTGACCCATTCATTGTTTAATAGTGTACTGTTCAGTCTCCATGAGTTTGCAAGTTTTTGAAGTTTCTTTTTGTGGTTGATTTCCAGTTTCAAGGCCTTGTGGTCCGAGAAGAAGTTTGGTATTATTTCAATTTTCCTGAATTTGCTGAGGTTTGCTTTGTGTAGGACGACATTCTTAATTGTCCTCACCCCATTCCCTGCTTCCAAGACCTTTTTTTGATATTCTCCCTTTTTACTGGGTTCTTCCCTAGCATATCATTCACCACATGCCATTGTAAAAATGTGTTCCCCTTAATATGAGAGGCATATGCGTCTCTCTTGTCTACAGATTTATCCTCAATGCCTAGAACTTGCCAGCCTCTTGAGATATTTGAATGAAAGTGGCTTGTATTTTATTAAAATATTTAGGTCATGTTTTTGGATCTAATATCTTTAGGTCAGGAGTCAAAGAAGAATTTGGCTTTGGAGCTATTGAAATTAAAGCATCTGTGTCTAGTCTCCATACAAATACATGCATCTGAAACACAAGTAAAAAGATTATCCTTGGGAAAATAAATTTGGAAATCATTAGTAAATCCTGGAAGGAGGACCACTAATCCCCTAATGTTGCTACTCAAATGGTCTGGATTTGGTGTGATTAGAAGAATAAAATTATAGAGGATGGAGGACAGGGCTCTCACTCCAATTAGATTTTCTTTCCATTGGATTTATCCATTTGTTTTTCATCACAGAAATGGCCTCTGCCTTCAACCCCCGAGAATGTACGCTGTCTAAACAAGAAGGGCAAAGCTATGGCTTCTTCCTGCGAATTGAGAAGGACACTGATGGCCACCTAGTCCGGGTGATTGAGAAGGGCAGCCCAGCAGAGAGGGCTGGCCTCCAGGATGGAGACAGAGTTCTTAGGATCAATCGTGTCTTTGTGGACAAGGAAGAGCATATGCAGGTGCATGGGACATTTGTGGTATTTCCTCCAGGATCTGTTCAGCTCCCACATCTTTGCTGATTATTGTTTTGGAGTTCAGTAGAGCTGTCCCTGCTGCCGCTGGCAAGGCAGGACACATACCTTTATGGCTACATTTCCTGCCAACTAATATAGTTTCTCACACCTAGCCAAAAAACTGTACAAATTATTCTTAGATTTCAGTAGTGTCAGGTCTAAAATACATTGCATAGTGGCTATATACCAGGAACTATGCTAGGCAATTTCATATTCATTTTTTTGTTAAATCCTAATCACAGCCCATGAGGTATATATTACAATTTCACAGATGAGAAGTAGAGGCTCAGATAACTTATGTGTTCATGCAGTGAACATATGGGAGTGCATGACCTTACCCCAATTCCACCAGCCTCCCAGTTGGGTGCTCTGTTCACTCTACCATTCTGTCTCTACAGACATGGGAGGGCCTGTTATACTCTAGCGGAGCATCCACCCCTAGAAAGGACCAGTCCTTGTAAGAATCCTTTGGGCTGGGGTTGGGCCACACTCTTGATTCCAACAGTGCTAGAGGCCCAGGCTAATCTGCATCTGGCTCTGGGGAGGGCTCAAGTGGAAATGGCTGGGGCACTATCTGCTGACTATTTGGATATCAGGAACAAGCTATCAGAATCCCCAGGGCCAGATGATGAGCCAGCAACACCCCTCTGGTGGTTAATAGAAGGTTATTGGTTATAGTTGTCCTTTCCTTCTTCTAGGTTGTGGATCTGATCAGAAAGAGTGGGAATTCAGTGACTTTACTAGTTCTGGATGGGGACTCCTATGAGAAAGCCATGAAAAAAAAGGTAGATTTGAAAGAGTTAGGTCAAAGTCAGAAGGGGCCATGTTTGAATGATAAGAAACTGCCTCTTATGTTGAATGGAGGAGCACAGACTTGGACCCAACCACGGCTCTGCTACCTGGTGAAGGAGGGGAACAGCTATGGCTTTTCTCTGAAAACTGTCCAAGGTAAGCATGAGGGTTGAGCATGAACAATCAGCTTTCTAGAAGAAAGATATTACTGATGAATGACTTCTTTGACTAACTTTCTGGTTGCTATGGACATCCAACAGCAGCTGCACTCTCCCCCTCCTCTCAACCTTTCCCTTGCTTTGCACAATTGTGCAATCGAATAATCTAAACATTGGACAGCAGCAGGTGGGGAGGGCCCTGGGAACTCTTGGCCCCCAGTGTTTGCTAGGTTGAGCCTTTCAGGCTAGAGGGATAGAGTGTTGATGCTTCTCTGATATCCTGTTCTAGCTTCCTTAGGATGAGATTGGAGGGGAGCTTGGGGAATAACAGGGAAGAAAAAGGAGGTTCCTCATAATAGCTACTTTTGAATAAGAATGATATCTCTTTCCATCTCTCAGAGTGCCAAGGTTGTCACTCATTTATTCAACAAATTCTTGGGCACCTATTGATGTGTCAGACATAGTTATTTGACATAGGACATTGCAGAAATCCCTTCTCCCCATGACATTTAAATAGTATCCTCAGCCATGGCCCAGCCTCACTCTGAAGTGTGTCCCTGACCCCTAGCGGAGAGGAACTAGCGATTTGAAAAGCCCCGGCCATCAGAAAGTACTAGAAATTCTGTTCCTGAAATTTCATGGGTGCAGGCTGACCTGTGCTCAATTGACCATGATTCTATAATGGTTTGTCTGAGATCAAGGCTGGAACCATAAGAGCTGTGTTAGCCTTGTGGTTCCATCTCAAATGTTGCCCCTCCCATGTACTTCTTGGTACTGGGGAGGCACTGGTGATGGATCATAGTTTGGTAAGTGATAAAGAACAAACTGATAGTAAACATAATCTAGTTTCCAAGGCTTATTTAGCCTGTAGCAAGAGATATAAACTAGCTGTAAGAGGTATTTCTCAAGTTTGTCAAGTATTAAACACATAGTGAAGGTAGTCAAGGGAAGCTTGGCATTTATTAGAAGTATGTTATCAGTAAAATGGTAAAAAAAAAATCATGATTCAGATTCTATTCATTTGGCTGTTGGGCTATTGGATATGGTGAATGGTTTAGATGAGCTTCATGAAGAAAACGTTTTCTTCATAATAGAGATATAAGAAGGTAGTGTGTTTAAGGAAGCATAGTTTAAGTGACTGTTATGCCTTACAAATAATTTGTCTAGTCATTATAAAGCAGCCCTTTGCCTAGATTGAATATCTTAAAATAGTGCATTTCATTAAGAAGCACTTAAATCATACCACCTACTAATCTAGACTGCATGTATGTATGCTTCCCCTCACTCCTGTGCTTCCGTCCTTTTTAGTCTGCATCAGTGAGATTTATTGATTCCATTGGTCTGTGATGGTTTGTGACAGTACTAAAATTAAAGAGGACAGAATAGAGTGGATGTCTTCTAATTTTTCAAATGCAAAGAAAGGGAGTATGATACAATAATGCCGCATGGGCATGGCTTGGTACCTTCTGGTTCAAGAGGCCAGTGCCACCTGAGATTCTGTCCTTGCATTTAGCTGGGCTCAGAAATTCTATTTAAATAAACAAATACCAATTGAGTAATGGCTGTATCAAGCTTTTCTTGGAGTTATAATTATAAATGAGAAGCCAAAGGCTATTTGAGTTAGTCCTAAAATTAGAAGTTCTAATTTTACATTATTGGGAGAATACCTTTACTGTTTTACTTCCTGTGTAATGGAGTTGTAACATTTGTCCACCCCCTACTCTCTTTCAGGTAAAAAAGGAGTGTACATGGCTGATATAACACCTCAAGGTGTGGCTATGAAAGCTGGTGTCCTGGCAGATGATCACTTGATTGAAGTGAATGGAGAGAATGTAGAAGATGCCACTCATGAGGAAGTGGTTGACAAGGTACTTTTCTTGCTTTATCTTTCACTCTGCTCTCATTGGAAGTGACAGGGAGCTAGGAGTGGTAGTTCATGATGGGAGAGAGATAATGATGGGAAGTTACCCTTTTGTATTAAGAGCAAACCGACTTACTAGTGGCCTAAGCAGAGTTGATATAAGATTTTAAAATAGTTTCATCTTATCTTGAAGATGTGTTCTAAAGAGCCATTAACTTTATCTTTTGGATCTTATTGTACCTGTTTGGGAGCACCCTCTGAATTTATGGTAAATTCAATGTTGAACCAAAGTTACTAAAATTTTAAAAAATAAACTGGAGGATAACCAATGTGGCAATGAATATAGAGCTACACATGGGGAGTACTGGAAGGCATTACCCCAATTTGTATGTCTGAGCATGTTCCCATGATACATGGAAAATAGTCTGAAGTTTTCCTTTAAGATCATTTGGAATTTTGATCATTGACCAACATTATCTCTTCCTGGTAGAATAATCTTTCAAAATATACCTTTACTTTTTTTTCTTTTCCAAATTCCTTTCCTAGACTTCACCTAAGAACTTTTCTGGGTTTTCTGAATTCTAGTTCTCACTTGGGTTCAGTTAGCATCTGTGCGGTTGAGTCATACTTAGCAAGGGGAAAAATAACAACCGTGGAAGTGGAGGTACATAAGTGCCAGTGACGTGGCAGGAAATAGTATAACAGCTGAAACTCAGGCCTTACACCCCATATTTTCTGTTTAATCTAGAGACTGTGTGCCTCTCTACAGAAACTTTCCTATTTCCCAGCATTATTTTTGGATATTGATGTTGGTCCTCACCTGTGTGTTGTTGCAGGTGAGGAAGTCAGGAAGCCAAGTCATGTTCCTGCTGGTGGACAAGGAAACTGAGAAGCACCATAATGAGCAGAATATAAAATTCAAGAGAGAAACAGTCAGTTTGAAATTACTACCCCACCAGCCCCGAGTTGTTAAGATGAAGAAGGGAAGTAATGGCTATGGTTTCTATCTGAGGGCGGGTCCAGGACAAAAAGGTAAGGCACTAGGAGAGCAGAAAGCTTGGTAGTTTAACTGCACAATTCTTCATCCGAGAATTCTTCTCCAGAGTTCCACTAGGACCCTAACCCCCAACATGAAGTGGATAGTAAGAAGGTAGAAAGCATAGCTAGGTCAGTTTCCATGTCATATGGGGACTTGATAATGGGTATCCCTCCAGGTTTCAATAGCAGGATAAAGCAGAATTTTGGATCTGGGCAGTGGTATGCTATTAAATTGGCTCTTTGGGGAGGCAGGGAAGGCAGGCCGAATTTGTAGCATTTGTTGATTTTTGTGGTATAAATACCCACACTGTGTCTGATACCAAACTACCAGCATAACACAGAATGCAAAGTTGAGAAGTATTGTGCACAACTGGTACACATGAGTTGGTGTGATGAGACTCTAGCACATCCTTTGATCTAAGGCACAGGTATGGTTTGGGACTCAAACAGAACCAGGAATCTTTCTGGTTCCTTGTAACTCAGCATGGTAAGTACAAAGGTCCTCCTAGGGAAGATGAGTACATAAAAGTATGTAGGTTCAGATCATGTAAACTGTTACACACCCTGGATTTACTATTTCCTTTTTATTATATATGTTTACATGAATTCATCAAATATTTATTTGGTTTATATTATGTAAGAACATCCTTGGATCTTTGACAGTATCACGTGAATCAGGTGAATTCTTCAGTCAAGGAGCCTACTGCCTACTAGTTAGACGAGATAAGATGTATGTCCATAACTGAAGAAACTGAAGGTTGGAGCAAGCTTTTCTCACTTTAGCTCATAGTAGAGGTGGCGCTTTAGCTTAGGCTTTGTAATATGACTAGAATTTGGACAAGCTGATGGAGCAGAGACAAGGCAGGCTGTTCCAGAAAGGTAGGAGTTGGGTGAACAAAGCAAGGAAACAGGCCCAGTTTGACTGATATCTAATGAGAAGCACAAAAAACCCAAGTTAGGAAGGTAGGTTGGAGAGAGAGAAATGAAAGACCTTTAATGCGCGGTTGAGGAGTTTGAACTTGATTCTATAGTCCATGAGGTGTTAAAAGCTTTTGAGCAGTGCCGGAGAGAAGAAAAAAAATTAGCGTACAGTGTCTTGGGGACATTATACATCTTAATTATTCCTAATAATTCTGCAAGAATTGCTGAAATATAGGGTGTGGAGGAGATGCAGAAATTATATAAGGTCAACTAATTATGGTATAACTGGGATCAAACTCAGGTCTGTTTAGTTCCAAAGCTGATGCTCATGCTCTTGCACTGGAGGGTGACTTGGCCACACACTGTATCAAGATAAATCTGAAGGCAGATCTGTATTGGAGAAGACAGGAATTAGGGGCAGGGAGAGCAACTGGTAAGGTGCAGTAGTGTTAGATAGTCAGTCGGAGAGCCAGGAAGTCTCCCCCACTGGCCAAGGTGGCACACGGGGAGGTTCTTACACTAAGCACCTGAAAGCTAAAAAGATGAATGGGTAGGGCTGAATGTGCCAAAAAGCTAGAAAGATTAATGGATAGAATCTGAGGGCCCCAGAAGCTAGAAATATGAATGGATAGGGCCCTAATAGAAAGCTAGAAATATAATTGGATAGAAAAAAAAAACTCCCCTCTCCCCATCCTTATAAGAACCTAAGGCTTGAGCAGGAAAGGAGATGGTCTTTGAGATGGGAGTCCACCATTCTCCTAATGGAGAATAAAACTTTTTCTTTTTGCACTAGCACCTGCGTCATGAGTTTGGCTTTCATTACAGCAGGCAGTTGAACCTCTGTTTCTTTTTCCTCCTCAGTTATAGTAGTAGTTTAAGTAGCATTCAAGACAGGAACTAATACAATCTGTATTTAGGGTAGGTGAAAGGGACTAAAGAAAAGATTTGTAAAATATTAAATTAGCACTGAAGGACTTAGCAGGTGATTAGGTATGGGAGTGGATGCTGAGGAAGAATTAGTTGTCAGTGTCAGTGACTGGGGCAATGGTGCTCCCACTAACAGGTTGCCAAGAAAGGGGTACATTACATTTGAGAATACATTACATTGAGAGGGTCCTATGGGATAACCAGTTGGAAATGCCTAACAGCTAGCTGGAAAAGTGAAACTAAAACTTGCTGACCCTTAATGCTTAACATGCTATTTTATCAAGATTGAATTTCAGACATTTTTAGTAACAACGTGATTCTTTTCTTTAAGAATCTTTCATTGTTAATAGGCTGGGTTTGTTCCTAGGGCAAGTTCTGAGCAGGGAATGAGACTGAAGGGGGCACTTCCAGGCATCTTAGAATGGGTGTCAGTGGAACAGTAGCTGTACTTAGCATGACTGTTAAACCTATTTTATCAGGGCCTTGGGCTCCAGCAGAAATCCTAGTTTTATAGGGGTCTTTCTGATAATTATTTTTTTTGGGGGTGGTTAGGTCAAATAATCAAAGACATAGATTCCGGAAGTCCAGCAGAGGAGGCTGGCTTGAAGACCAATGACCTGGTAGTGGCTGTCAATGGCGAGTCTGTGGAATCCCTCAGTCATGACAGTGTGGTGGAAATGATCAGAATGGGTGGAGATCAGACTTCACTGTTGGTGGCAGACAAAGAAACAGAGAGCATATATAGACTGGTAAGTGATACAAGGTCACATATTCATGCATTAAGGTTGAATCTATTCACACATACCCTCAAACTTTGGCTAGGTTACTACTTCTTCTTCTCCTTTTTCTCCTCCTCCTCCTCCTCCTCCTTCTTCCTCTTCTTTTTTTCCAGTGCTGTTTGGCCTATGACTATCTTCTGTTTCTACCACCATGGTTACTGCATTCATGAGACCATTGTTTTGGCACTGGTATTCATTGTGTCAGCTGATGAAAGTTTGGCTGATTTTAACTGGCTGAATCATTCTTTCTACTTGGCTAAGTTACCATTTTGATCTTCAGCCTGGAAAGTGTATAAGAGAATACCATGTTATTGGTACATAAATTTCAAGTTCTTAGATTCAAGATTTTCAGGGAATTTGCAGATATAACTGCATAATTACTCTTGGTGATCTGAGAAAAATCTGTCAACAGCGGCCTGGAAATAGGCAGATGTAACCCTAACTTTCCAAAATAGGAAGCAATTAGATTTTAAACTATAGATGAGTAAGTTTCATCTTTCCATGAAAAGCCTAGACAGGATTATTGAACATCCTGTAATAACTTAAAAGGCTATCATATGCAAGAAGTACACTTATTTTTGAGGTGTTCCATGGGGTATAGCTTGGAGAAGATAGAGATGCTATAAAGAGCTAGCTTTTGGTTTAGGACAATTGCAGCTGCTAGGAACAGGTTAAGTTCTGCAGAGTAGTGAGATCCCAGCTGGTAGAAAAGGTCAAGAAGTCAGAAGGTTACTGCTCTGGCTATTGTAAAAGGGATTCTGGCATTGAGTCCTTTCCAACTTCTAATCTTATGACAGAACAATTTCACTATAATTTTAATATTTTGGTTAAAGAGCGAGAACTTCGATCTATGAAGATGCCTGTCCCCATCTTCTCCCTCCCTCTTTCCCCCAAAGTTGCATAGGTGGGCTGGATGTTTGAGATATATCAGAGAATAAAACACCTAAACCTGTTTCTGGAACATACTAGATACTCAAATGTTTGAATGAAGAATGAAAAAAAAAATTCATTGTTTTACATTATTGTACTTTGCCTCAGGATTAGCTACAATTTGCTTGTTTGGATAGTGATGTCAGGGGTATTTTTGCATGTCATGAGTCACTGATAATTTTCTACACTTTAAAGAGAGAAAGAAATGTGGAAAATTTGCAAGTATATCACTGAAAGGTCTGGAGTTAGTTGAACTGGCTAACTAGAAGGTTCTGTGCTGGTGATACTCTCATTTAGAAAGGAGGATGTGGTCTTGTGGTTAGTAAGACAGATGATAACCAGAGGACACCAAATCTAATTTTAGCCTGCTGAACAGGATGATTTGGTGCAGAGCACATGTTGTATACTCACTTTCAATTGCTTCATTTTTTTTTTACCATTGCCTCACAAATGTCTTGGGCACGTGTGGGCAGCAATTTAACTACTGATCTAGGATTTCACCATACCCAAATCTACTCTTTTAATTCTCTCAGCTAAAACCTGATCACCTAAGTTTCTATTTCTATATAAAAAAATCAGTTCAATGTATCCTCTACACTTAAGACTATCACTGTTTTCTTCTCATGGATGGCCTGGGAGTTGGGATGAATTAGAAATATTTACAATAGGAGTTTGGCTAATGGTTACAACAACAAATAGTAAGACAGAGTAAAACACATCACAGTGCTGGAGGGGTAGTGGGGGAAGCAAATACCAAAGGATTTGAATGAACTTTTAATACCAAGTGACTATATGATGGTTGTCACCCCCCCCCATTAATTATGTGTATTTTGGATTTTGATAAAAATAATGTGTTATGCTTTCTCCAAGTGTTTAAGGAGCTCTGAAGATCATCTTACTGAAGGGGAAGGGCCAGATGGACCTACTTTGCATGTGACAGTGGGAGTCACTCAATGTGTATAATCTCCTGACAGGGAGATTGCCTATAGTTTACTGGCTTCCTCACTATCACCAAATCAGAAGAAACTAGCAATTCTGTTAGACTTATTTTGGGATTCTTGTACATTTGTGCTTTTATGTATATGTGCACTTGTTTACATGTTTATACTTATTACTCCATAACTAAGCTCAATCTTCCTTTATACCTTTCCTGGTTGGGGTAATAGAAAAATTTTACAACCCACAATCAGATATATTTGGAAGAGGAGTGGAACATGTATGACACCTTGTAAATGAAGCCAGCATATTTAATAGTTTACTTATATTTACCATTAATGTTTTCTCCCTTTTATTTTCAAAAGGCTCATTTTTCTCCATTTCTCTACTATCAAAGTCAAGAACTGCCTAATGGTTCTGTAAAGGAGGCTCCAGTTCCTACTTCTGCTCCTCCAGAGATCTCAAGTACAGATACTACAGAGGAAGTAGATCATAAGCCTAAACTGTGCAGGCTGGTTAGAGGTGAAAATGGCTATGGCTTCCACTTAAATGCAATTCAGGGTCAGCCAGGCCCATTCATCAAGGAGGTATGGTAATCTAGTTCCAGCAGCCCAATGAACACAGTTACTATTAGGAGGGCCTGTTTCTCTCACTCACTGATGGCTTAGTAAAAAAGACTGCACTGAAGACCTAGGCTGAGTGTCACACCTGGGTTCACATAATTGCTGCCAAGGTCCCATAATAAGCTCACATCATATGCTCACATCGTTTTGTTTTTTCTTTTCTTAAATGCCTGTTCCCCTCAATTGTCTCTTTAGATACTTTATTTATTTATTTATTTAAATTATGTGTAACGATGAATGTGAAATAGATTTAAAATTTTTTTTTAATTTTTAGAGAAGGGAAGAAAGGGAGAGAGGGAGATAAACATCAATGTGTGGTTGCATCTTGCACACCCCCTACTGGGGAGCTGGCCTACAACCCAGGCATGTGCCCTACACTGGGAATTGAACCTCAAACCGGCGACCCTTTGGTTCGCAAGCTGGAACACAATCCACTAAGCCACACCAGCTAGGGCAAGATACTCTCAAATCAAATAGAGTTGACATGACTGTAGCTCACAGTCACTATCAGCATTGACTGGGAGTGATACTTGTTTGCTTCTGTTCATTTGGCATAATGCCCTATGCTATAGTGACTGAGAGTGAGAAGGCTATCCCTACAGCTCTCAAGTTGGGAATGAAGAAGGGACTTGTGAAATTTATGCCTTCAACCCAGAAGACATACAAGATGAGATTCAATCACTGTAACTATACTTATTTGAGTATGTAAGTTGTATCTTTCACAAGTAGAAAGCATTACAGCTCTTTTTCTAACTTCTCTACCTCAAGGAGAAATTGTAACAGTTAAGAAATTCTTAAACTCCCTATCTCTCCTTTGAAGGGAAGCTAGTCTAACATTCCCTTATCTGTGTTTGAAAGTGATAACTCAAAACCTCTGTTCACAGGTACAGAAAGGCAGCCCTGCCAACCTGGCTGGGCTAGAGGATGAAGATATCATTATTGAAGTGAATGGGGTGAATGTGGTGGATGAACTCTATGAGAAGGTGGTGGACAGAATCCAGAGCAGTGGGAAGAATGTCACACTCTTAGTCTGTGGAAAGAAAGCCTATGATTATTTCCACGTGAAGAAAATCCCTATTGTTTCTTCCATGGCTGATCCATTGGATGTACCCCTTTGTTGCAAGGAAGGAACATCAGTGGAGTCAGAGCACAACTCATACACGGCGAAAGAACGAGTGAGTGGTGACACATTTTTTTCAGTGATCTAATTTACCAGAATACGGAAAACCCTTAGTAAGTGCACCTCATGTCCATGTTTACCATAGATTTCCTAAAATACTAGAAAATTACAGTGTAAAGGTAACTGGCAAATCAAGTTATTGTGGGGGAGAGGCCACAGTATAAAAGCAACGCATTTCTTAATTTTTCATAGCATAGAGTTGAGAGTAACTATTTAGAATTGATAAACCAAGGAATAAAAGAAGTATCAAAATTTTAATAGGAGTGGAACTTGCATCATACTATTTATGTACAAACTCTGGTTCTGCCTTGGGCATATGGATTTATTCTCTGTGTGCCTTGGTTTCCTTACCTATGAAACAAGGATAATTGGTAGGGCTGTTATCAGCGTTATATTAAGTGAGACTATTAAAATAGTTTAAACAAGTGCCTTGTACACGGTAAGCATGAAAATGAATGGGGGAGATTAGAGACAGTATTGTTTTTAAAATAACTGGTAGGTATCCAAGTTTTATTACTAGGGAAGAATAAACATTATTCTGTATGTATTTAGAGTAGATACATTCTTTGGTAAATCTTGGTTTTAATTTTTGTCCATTTCTTTTCATAGATGAACTTGAGGTCCTAGAGTGAACTGACCTATCCAAGTTCATAAATGAAATGTATGGCAAAGCCAAGACTCTAAAAGTTTTATATTATTTTTCTTTCATTATGTTAACTTAATCCTTCTGATCAATAATATAAAAATACCAATTTTAAATGAATACCCACTCTAATAGTCCATTTAGGCTGCTATAATAAAATACCATATATGCATGGCTTATAAACATGAAACATTTCTCACAGTTCTGGAGGCTGGGAAATCCAAAATCAAGGTACTGGCCAATATGGTGTTTGGTGAAGAACCTCTTCTGGGTTGCAGACTGTGGACTTCTTGCTCTGTCCTCACATTGTGGAAGGAACAAGGGAGTTCTGGGGGCCTTCTTTTACAGCACTAATCCCAGCTCTGCTCTCATGACTTGATCACCTCCCAAAGGCCCTACCTCCTATTACTATCAGCTTGAGGATTAGGATTTCACCATATGAGTTTTGGGGAGATATATATATATATTCAGACCAAACCACATACAAAAGCCATTGACCATACTCTCTTAACACAGAAAGTATTCTCATTGTCTTTTAAGAATTCTATAATACCTCTATAGGGAGTCAATTATAGTACTATGTTAGCTTTATAGAAAGGAAATATATGTAGACTTTAAGAAATTTGTTAGTTTTAAACAACTAGTTGAACACAAAGCCAAGTGTACAATTCAGGTAACTTGTATTCTAGTAAGTGACTCTACTCCCTGACTTAAGTCATGCAACTCTAGATCCATCTCTTCATATTCACACTCTACCACTTACAGATCCTTTGTTTTCTTTTGCACAGGCCCACAGTACAGCCTCTCATTCTTCTTCCAATTCTGAAGATACAAAGATGTGACGAGAACAAGTAATGGCTTTGGCAGATAGTTGTTTTTGGGTATTTAATAGGAATCCTTTTCAAGGAATGAGCTCCTACATTTGCTGTCTCTGTTAAAGAACTCCTGTGGAAACCACCTCATCATGTATAATTGTTTTCTGTTACCATTTGTCTTGGGGGTGGCTATTGCAGATGGCTTATTTATGGTCAACTTAGAAAAAGTTAAGGTGGGGGCTGGATTCTTTTCATGTAATCTCGTTCAAGCTTCAATTTAACTATACAGGGTCCAGCACAAATGATGCCTCTTTTTTTTATTACAAAACCATAAGCATGTAATTCTGTACCGTAACGATATCACACACAAGTACACCATATGACATTTTAGGTGAAATATTCAAATTAAAACTATAAATTATTACACACATATTATTACCCTACCAAACACACTCAAGCAGGCCTTACTTCTGCCAGACCCTGTGTTTCTTTGCATGATGGTATCTCTTACTTCTATTTGGGTCTCCTTGAGCACCAAAGATGATTTATAAGTCTGTATATGTGAGAGCTGCTAATTAAAGTATCTCAGCAGATAAGCCAAAATTATGTGTTTTAAAGAATGTTGTGTTTACCAAAATAAATGCCATTAAAAAAATGCCTTCTGAGTGTGCTTGAACCTTCCTTGTTAGTTGATCTAATCTTAATAGTACTTTTGTTTTTGGTAAATTTTTTATGCTTTGTTTTGCCTCTAGAAACCCAAAACAAAATTCAGAATAAGATCTTAGTAATAAAACAGAGACTTTCTGGTAGTAAAATTCAGGATTTTCTTAAATCGCATTTCTGAGTATTCTACACATTTTCCAACATCTTTTCACAGATAAAAAAAATTGACTCCTAGGACAGGAAAGTGACTTAATCCAATGTGCAGTTATATTCACTGCTTTGCTCACACCATGAGGAGCAGGTGGGGGGCGTGGGGGAAAGGAGACATCATTACTGATGATGAACATGGAGTAGTTCACTCTTAAATAATACTAAGTTCAAAGGAAATCAAGAAAAATGGCATACTTGAAATCTGTTTGGTAGAATCTATTTCAATTGCACCCTATCCTGTCCCCAGAAAAGAAGAGATAACCTCTTAGTTATTTTAATGGGGCAAGGGTTGGGGAAGGAGGAGTGGAATGCTAACTCATGTTAGACCATAGCAGCAAAATACCAAGCTATTTTTTTAAAGATTTTTATTTATTTCTTTTTATAGAGAGGGGAAGGGAGGGAGAAGGAGGGAGAGAAAGATCAATGTGTGGTTGCCTTTCACGCGTTTCCCACTGGGGACCTGGTCTGCAACCCAGGCATGTGCCCTGACTGGGAATTGAACCAGTGACATTTCAGTTCACAGGCCAACACTCAATCCACTGAGCAACATCAGCAAGCACATACCAAGCTATTCCTGATAAAATAAGCTAAGGCCAAAGAGTTACAGTCTCTGATTTTAATGACAGTTAATCTCAAGGGAAAGCCAAAACCTTCTCCATGTGAATCTTGACCTTAACAGAAACCCTACATATTTGGCCCAGCTACCATAGACTTCTCTTACCCCACAGTTCCAGTGTATTTCCCTACCCCTAGTTTCTTGACTCTTTTCCACTACTACTTCCCCATGCTACACCAGTCTCAAATCAACACAGGAACCTTTCAGCTGAGTAGTAGATTCAGCTACCTCACTCTCTCATGCTCTAGCTGATGCTACTCATGATGACAGTATCATCTGAGGTAGAAGGCATAAGCTGGAGGTAGAATATGCTACAACAGCATTTTGTTTGCTTAAAAAATATTAGGCCCAGGTCAGCTCCATTTTTTTCTCTTCTTATATCCAAATTCTGACACCACTGGCCTGTTAGCAGTCTGTAACAGGCATGAGTTCAAGGTGTCATATGCTTCTCTGGTGCCTGTTTGTGAGCCAAATAGAGGAAGAGTATGCTCGAGAGAGCACTGACTAGGAAGATCACATCGAACCAACGGTGGTAGAAGTTGAACTGCAGTTCTCCAAGGACTTCAGTGATTATGGTGCGGTATTCTAGGGGCATGCTCATTCGGATCAGCAGCACAGATGAGACAAAGTACATGCCCTGTAAGTCAAACACGTTAATCCAGAAGTCACTTTGAATGTTGTAAGGGACAGGTCAAAAGGCATGGTTAAATATTTAAAAGTATAAAATACTTCCGGTATTTTACAGCTCTAAAGACAAAGCTGGCTTTTAAAACTTACCATTATCTGTGCTAATAGCAGGACAATGACATTGGAGGACTTACTGCTAGAGATGGCATAAAAGAACTGTCAAGAAAGGGAAAAGAGATAAATTTATATAGCACTGCCATATTCTGTGTCAAGAACATTAAGTAGCATGATTAACACTTATTTCAAAGTGTCTCTTCCATGCTACAAGCCTATAAAGAAAAATTTGTATGATTCGGGCTATAAAGACGACACTTAAATAGACTGAAAAAAGGATCTAGTTATAGTTTTCCCATGGGGTAGTTGGTTTTAAGTATTACATTATAACATAAAAGGATTCCAATCCAACAAACTTTTTAGAAACTATGTGATATGACTTTAACATTACCACGAAACATTTAAACAGCCTATTCTAGGTTCCTGTAATTGTTACTAGGCTCCTGGGCTTTTTCTAAAACTGTGCTAGATGCCTGGAGACCCTCTTTCCTCCATTTTCTCAAACTCTTCCCTACTTTCATTAAAAAAACTCTTGGTCTGAAATCCCTCCCTCTTTTATCAGAGAGTATTTACCCTCCAGGAAGCCTTCCTATGTTGAGCAGAAAGCAGTTGAACAATCTTCTTTTCCTACTTCCACATCCTCCTTACACAGTTATTCTTTCAATCTCAAAACGTATCTCATTCACTAATTCCAAATATCTGCTGAATATTTACCATGGGCCAGGTACTGTTCTAGGTGCCACTAACATATCAGTGAACAAAACAGCCTGTGGTCTCATTCTATGACCTTTGGTAAATGCAGTTATCTGATTATATAAGTACATCATCATCAATTTATGTATTAGTTTAACTTTCTTTTTATCCTCACCTGAGGATATTTATATTAATTATTATTATTTTTTTTAAAGAGGTAGAGAGGAAGGTGGGAGAAAGAGAGAAACATAGATTGGTTGCCTCTTATAGGGTCCCTATCTGGGAATCAAACCCACGACCTAGGCATATGCCCTCACCAGGAATTCAACATACAACCTTTTGGTGCACAGGACAATGCTCCAACCACTGAGCCACACCAGCCAGGGTTGTATTAGTTTAACTTTATAAAAATTCTGTTGTATGTCTTTTAAATATGTGTACTGTAGTTTAAGATCTCAGAAGACAGAAATCTTAAAATAGGTAAAATTATCTCACAATGTCATATATAATTAAACGAATAAATACTTTATATCTCTGTGATACAACATACCTTGGTAAGAGTGATTAGCAATCCTCTGATAGATGTTACAATAATTATTCCAACAAGAATAAAGGAAATGTGTTGGGACCAGAACTTCACCTGCCACCATAACAGAAAGAATAAATATCTGTTAAATCTCTGGTCAGAAAGATGCGAAGGTTAAGATGCTGCATTCTGATGTGATTGTGAAAGGAAACTTCATTAGGCCCTACATGATTTAAAAAAAAAAATTAGGGAAGAAAGCAAGTGGCAACTAAAACACCGAAAGGAAGACTGCAGTAGGTATCTTCAGTAGCAGACATAATGAAGACAAGGACAGAACAAAGCAAGTGCAGTGAAGTGATGAAAATAACATGAATAAATCAGAAGAAACACAGATCTAATGAAATATCTTCAATGTGATAAATCAAAAACACAAATCAAAAGGAAATTAAATAACAGCTTAATTATTTTTATTATCTGGGACAATTTTCTTATCACCCAAGACTTTAGGGAATTTTTCACTTATAATAAAGGAATATACAGACATTCTCAGCCATGGTCATTTGAATCACATGATGATACCTTTTTCTTCTCTTTTATTGCTTCATAGTGAGGGGCAGCTTTGGGACCCTGTGCTTGATTCAGGTATGAAAAGTATCTGGGGGAGAGCTACTATTACTACCATCTAAAAGATGTTATGCAGAATTATGAACTATGGAGTGTATAGATGAATTGTAGATGGTATATATATATATACACACACACAGCAGCTGAATATAAATACATAGACAGCAATTGATAAGGAAGAGCATTTCTAAAAATTCAGCCCAGTAAAAAATTTAAAGAGGAAAACACATATGCAGCACTAGTGAAGCATACTTTACAGTATAATTTATATAGATAGTACTTGAAGAAAAGATACCATGCTTCTTCATATGAAAAAAGGTACACTGTTGATCTATCATTAAAAAATGTATGCTTTAAGCTATTTCTTAAGGACTGGAGCTCTGGTTCACTTTCATTTTATCCAGCTACCAGGGGCATGATCAGCTGAGATGAATGGATGGGGGTAGCATGCAGCCTGTGGCGAGGACCATAGGGACTAGGAGGACCTCACAGGGACTAGGAACATGACATTGGTCTTACTATCAGCCAAGATCACTGGCCATCTCTATATCTGAATAATATACTATTCTACAAATGAAGATGATAAATTTAAATCGGGACAAGAGTGTGTTGAATGACAGTGGTATTGTAAAACAGGTAGAAATATGACAAAAATTTGTGCATAGGTTACAGTTATCTTTAGCTCAAAGTCCACATTAATTAATAGATTATTTTTTATAGCAGAAGTCATTTCAGTTCTAACACAGAACACTAATTAGTAGTTAATATTCTACCAGAGAACTCAAAGGTAGGTTGTGTGTTTGAAGATCTCATTAAGTATCACAGAGAGGCATTTCCAAGTGTGTGGTGGGGAAAACCTGGTGCGTGGTAGCTGGCTACAGAGAGGCAGAAGAGGAACTATAGAAATAATCAGCATCTGTGAGAACAGTAAGTGCCAGTAATTCATTAAGTTTTATGCCCTTTACACGTATGCCATACAAATATGTCAAAATATACAGAGGAGAGTGGGAAGAACAAAAGCATAATCAAGTCCTTATAGTAAGGAATTAGAATCTTAATAATGGTAATTTATACCAGATAAAATAGAAAAAAAAACAGAAGAAATGAGGATCTTAATACAATTCTTACATCAAATTGAATCCCCAGATAATTCACAGTGATCTCAATGCCTCTTGTGACAGGATCAGTTTTCCCAACTCGGTCAAAAACAATATTAATGGTTGCCTGCAGAGACAAAGAACTTCACATTAGAGCATTTCAGTAATCACCCATTATTTCAAAAAGGTGATTCAGAATAATGAATTAATCACCACAATATATCGTACTGCTGGATGTTCCTAAAAATGCAATTCTATTCTCAGCCTAAATCATATATAAGAAATCTATTCTGGGTATTCACATATATGCAAATAAAAGTCCCTATCTACCCTAGCTTTCTTTTCTGTTAAGAGTAAAGAATAGGCTACAGCATATATGCCTTAATTTATCAGGAGCCAGACAGGTAATATTCTGGTACATGAAGCCAGGGTGAGAGAATAAAGGAACTCTAGGGTTATTCCCTGTGGTTATTTTCTGAATGCTCTAAAAGTGATCACTAAAACATCAAAAAGCCAATAAAGAAGATCAAATGGCATTATCAGAAATACCCAATTAATCCAAAAGGTGCCAAAAAGAAAAAAAGAGAAAAAGGGTAAAAAGGAACAGTTGACAGTTCAGACATATAAAAACATATAGTTTATGGTTGTTTTAAAGCCAACTATATCAATTACATTAAATGTACATGGTCAAAATCAAAGGTTAGCAAATGCTGTCACTGTAGTAAGATAGTAGCCATAGACAATACGTAGATGAAATGGGCTTGGTTCCGTCCAATAAAACCTTATTTACAAAAGTAGGTGACGGCTGGATTTCACCTGTGCACTGCATATGGCTGACTGCTGTCTAAACATGCCAATTAAATGGCAGAGATGGTCAGATTGAATAAAGGAGCAAGACCCACCTATATGATGCTTATAAGAAACCCACTGCAAATATAAAGATACAAATAGGTTAAAAGTATTGAAAAAGATATATTATGCCAATACTAATAAATAGGAAGCTGGAATGTCTATATTCATTCATATCAGCAAAGTAAATTTCATAGTAAAAAATACTGCCAGGGATTAAAAGCATCATTTCATAATGATAAAAAGGATCATTTCAACATAGGGTACATAATGACACTAAATGTGTATATACTTAATAACAGAGCTTTAAAATACATGAAAAAAAAAACCCCAAAAACAAACCCTGATAGAACTATAAAAAGAAACAAATTCACAATAGTTGGAAATTTCAACACCCCTCTCTCAACAACTGGTAAGAAGAGTAGTAGAAAATCAGTAAGGGTATAGAAAACTTTAACAATACTATCAAACTTGAACTAACTGACATTTATAGAACATTCCAGCAAAAAGCATAACACGAAAAGCATACATCATAATCGGAAATGAAAAGATAAACTGGACTTGATCAAATCAAGAACTTCTGTTTTTTGAAAGATACTGTTAAGAGAATGAAAAGCCAAACCACTGACTGGGATATATCTGAAAATCACATCTTTGATAATGAATTTCCAGAATATAAACCCAATAAAAAGAAAACAAATGTTATTTAAAAACTGGCAAAAATATGAATAGATATATTATCAAAGAGGATGAACAGGTGGCAAATAAGCACATGAAAGGTTGTTCGACATCATTAGATATTAGGGAAATATGAATTAAATTCGATACCATCTCATACCTATTAGAATGTCTGAAGTTAAAAGGACTGACCATATGAAGTGTTGATGAGGATGTGGGGTAATTGAAACTCTCATACACTGCAGGTGGGAATGTAAATTGTACAACCTCTTTGGAAAATTTTGGCCATTTCTTCAATAACTGAACGTATATCTGCTATGTGATTCTGCTATTCCATATCTAAGTTCTTCTCCCAAGAGAAAAAAGAGCATATGTTCACATACAGACTTGTACTCAAATGTTCACAGTAGCTTTATTTGTAATATCCCCAAACTAGAAACAAACAATATCCATCAGCAGGAGAGGAGATAAACAAGTTGTGGTATACCCATAGCATGGAATACTACTCAGCAATAAAAGGAATAAACTATTGATACACATAATATGGATGAAACTTAAAATAATTATGTTGAGTAAAAGGAGCCAAACAGAAAAAAAGTATATACTGTAAGATTCCATTTATATAAAGTTCTAGAAAATACAAACTAATGTATAATGACAGCAGATCAGTGGTTGCCTGGGGGCTGGGGGCATGGGAGAGGCATTACAAAGGGGTACAAGGAAACTTTTGGAAGTGACAGGTGGGCATTTTCTCTATCTTGATTGCGGTGATGGTTGTTGCACAAGTGTACTTTTGTCAAAGCTTACCAAACTACACACTTTAAATGTGTGCAGTCTAATGAATGTCAATTATACCTCAATAAAATTGTTAAAAAGTGATATGTTTTAACATGGGAGAGGGGTTGAGGAGCTCGGTGAAAAAGGTGAAGAGATTAAGAAGTACAAATTGGCAGTTACAAAATAGTCATGGGATGTAAAGTATAGCTTAGGAAATATAGTTGATAATATTGTAATAACTAGGTACTAGACTTATTGAAGGGATCATTTCATAAATTATATAAATGTTCAATCATTATGCTTTACACCTGAAGCTGATATAATATTGAACCTCCACTCTAATTGAAAAAAATATTATATGCTCCTCTAAAGGCTGCATCTCAGGATAAGTTTTCATTCAGTAGCTTAGCTAATTGGACACACTATCTTCATCTTCTCCCACAGAATGAATCAAAATTTAAGAATGTCAGCTGAATAGGTACTGACATCAAATTATTATAACATTAGACCCATCAAATCCAGAATCCTGCATTGATTAAAATCAACTAATGAGGTGACAGAGCTCCTCCTTGTGCAAAAACAGTCCCAGTAGAAAGGTTACCACATCAGAAAGTCAAATCAGACTCTTTTATAATCACACTGAAATCCATTAATACCTGCAGATGAGTCACAAGTAAAGACAAATAAACTGCCCATAAAGAATAAATACTAAAGGAGAGCCACAAAAGAATAAGGTCTATAAACACATAAGATGAATTTATTTATAGAAATACATTTTAGAATTTATTTTGGACTTAATATTTAGGTATATACATGTTATTAAAAAGGACAGGTGGCTTCTGTTCTGGGCTGAAGGTATGAGTTGAGTTACATACAGTCACATACTCATGAATAGTATGGAAAGCAGAATGTAAAATAAACTTTCATATTTGCTTCACGTATTTCATAATTTAAGACCTTATGACACAATAATTTAAGACCTTATGACACAATAATAATGACACATTTCATAATTCAGACTTCTGACACAAGAAAAATGCAACCTCTCTTCTCCAGGTGACTTAAAAAGGAGAAGGGAAAAAGAGGGGGACTCAAAGATATGAAAGATCACATTCTCTGTTAACACAACTGGATTTCAAAATTAGGTTGGAATTGAATAGTTCAATGCCTCAGTCAAACCCACTTTTCTCTGTCTGTCATTACCGGGATAAATGACCTAAACCCTGACAGTTAAAAATAATATACTTACCATGAAAATTTTCCAAACACAGTAAATAGAGAAAAAGTAACCCAGAAAATTAAAATATTTCCCCTTGAAAGTTTTGGAGTATTCTATTCTCTCCTGAGGGAAAACAAACACAAAACACAGTCTTAGTTAAATGTAAATTTATATTTAACAAAAATGAATTACTTGTTCAGGCTAAGTAAAAATACCACACATAATAATAATAATATTAAAATAATAATAGTAGTGGGCAACATTTACTGAATACTGCTTTAAGCCAGAATGTGAGACAAACACCTTATGTGCACTATCTTCTTTAATCTTCATAACTCTTTTTTAGTTATGTTCTATCATCTTAATTTTACAGATCAGACAACTGAAACTTAAGACGTTAAATAACTTGCCAAAGGACATACAGCTGGTGAGGAGGGGAAGATAGGCTCAGGTCTATCTGTCCCTAAAGTTTATGTTAACGTCTATCCTATAGGTCTACTCCTGTGAAGTGATCCTCAAAAAGGATTAAAATAGTTGGAACAACCTTAACTAATATATTTTGCATACTTACATTATAATGCATTTTAGGTGTAAATAGAAAAGTTACTTCTTGCAGTTAGGCCATTTCTCAATCTGGATCCTTTAAAATATGGCTAGATCATGGCAAAAAAGTGTCTTGCTGCTTTTATAACTTGCAAGGGAATAAAGAACAATCAGAGGAGCTACTATCTCGATCCTGGGTCAGTACGAAGTGGTGTGTGCCACCTTCCTAGATGTTGAACAGCCTCTTTTGACAATCCTACTATTTTCTATTATTGAGAGTGTTCCGTTAAGGATTTTGCTAGTGGTAGGATTAATGTCATGAAGAGTGCAGGTTTCTAATGCTTCGTGGCTAATATTCAAGCTATGAGGTGTTTCTTGCCCTGCTTGGCCATAGAGGACACTACTAAGCTACTTAGTCTTGTTCTCTCTTCAATCATATGGCCAAAAAGCACACTTCCATTTCCTTGCTCTTACCTTGGTAGCATATAGATCAGCTGTTTCCAGAAAAAGCTGTCTGCTTAGTTCTTCCAAAGCATCCACTTCCTGCTGAATAAGAGTAAGATCTGGCACAAAATGGGCATCAAGGTTTAAACCACAGAAGTTTCAAGAAATAGAAATGAAGAAAGCATATGCTTTTGGTTTCTCCTATAGTGGATCCTAGAAACTGCCTACAATTTCCTGCTTCATAGCCAGCAGTACTATTTCAGAGCAATTTTCCCAACCTCAAATACAGGTGTGTAAAAGCTGCTTCATCAAGAGCATCACACCAAACATCCTACCACTCAGGTTCTTATTACCTCAAGTAGCTCAGACAGATGGTTTTATTTTTTTTGCTTAATCTAGTTAGATTAAGTCAAATGTAATCTTGGAAATATCAAGTGGTTACAAAGTAAGAAAAACACCTTTAATACAGTATAGTTTCTCCTACATTATCTGAATAAATACAACATTAGAAAAGGGAACTAATATTTACTGAGTTCTAATACTGGCTATGATTTATAGACATTACCTTTTTACTTCTTTAGAGACATTATCTTCTATTATTCTCATAACACTCCTGTGAGATAGGTATTTTTATCCATTTGGCAGTAAAAGTAAAAAAAGTAAAGTAAAGCTCAGAGAATCAAATAATTTGCTGAAAGTCACACAGCTAATAGGCGTGGATGCAAAGTCCGATCTGTCTTACTACAAAGCCTGCTCTTTCCACTACACTATGCCACTTTCAAGAATTCAGTGAGGTCATGCTATTATTCTCTCCAATTAAGAAAATAGTCTCAGAGAAGTTAAAGAATCCTGATATTTTTGTTGACTTGTGTCACTAAGATAGCTAAAAACTAAAATTTGGCTTTTATGGATTATAAGCAATAAAAACAATAAGAACAGTTCCTTCTGAAACAGAAACATTGACTTTAATCTAACTTCTTTCTCCTCGACTCTATCCCACTCTGTGGTGCCGAAGCTGGCCTGCTGAGAGTACAGTGACTAGATTAACAAGTGAAGGAGAGAGCCACAGTCAGTAGATTCCTGGAAGTCTCAAACAGACTGCCTAAGGTCAGCCAGGGTCAACTTCTGACATCATCAGAGGCAGGTCCAGAAAAAAAACAGCAGCGGTCTCTTACCACAGAAGTTCACATCACAGAGATAGGGAATCAAGACAGATCAATTTAAGAAGCAGAAGCAGAAAAGAAGAGTCTCACAAATAATGGGAAGACAAAGAAACACTCACCCACTCAAAGGGAAAGGAGGAATCTCACAAAGAGAACTAAATGAAACTGAGGCAAGTTAACTATCAGATACTGAGTTCCAAACAACGGTTCTAAGGAAGCTGGATGAGCTCTGTGAGCTCAGAAAGAATTACCAAAAACTACAGGCAAACTATGAGGAACTTACTGCAAACTATTTCAACATGAAAAAGGGCATAGAAACTATCAATAAAAGGCAAGAAGAAATGAAGAATGCAATTTCTGAATTGAAGAACACAGTAGAAGGAATCAAAAGCAGGCTAGATGGAGCAGAGGATCGAATCAGTGAGCTGGAGGGCAAGGTAGAATAAAGCTCCCTGAAAGAGCAAGAAAATTAAAAACAGACTCAAAAAGAATGAAGAGGCATTTAGGGAAATGCAGGACAACCTGAAACCTAATAATATCCATATAATAAGGATACCAGAAGGAGAAGAAGAGGAGCAAGGGATAGAGAACCTGTTGGAAAAAGTAATGATGGAAAACTTCCCTCATTTGAGGAGAGAAAAGTCACACAAGTCCAGGAAGCACAGCGGGTCCCATTTAAGAGGAACCCAGTGAGGCCCACTCCAAGACACATCATCATTAAAATGGCAAATATCAAAGACAAACAGAATCCTGAAGGAAGCAAGAGAGAAACAGGTAGTAACATACAAGGGAGCCCCGGTATGGCTAGCAGCTGACTTCTCAACAGAAACACTGCAAGCCAGAAGGGAATGGCAAGAAATAGTCCAAGTCATGAAAAGCAAAGGCCTGCAACCAAGACTGTTCTATCCATCAAGGCTCTCAATTAAAATAGAAGGCGAAATAAGGTGTTTCCGAGACAAAAGAGGGCTAAAAGAATACACCTCCACCAAACCAGCACAGCAAGATATGCTAAAGCGACTGCTTTAAGAAGATGAAGAAAAAGAGAAAGAGAGGATCACAGGTTCAAAGAAAAAAAAATTAATAAGTACCTATCAATAACAACTTTAAATGTAAATGGATTAAATACCCCAATCAAAAGACACAGGGTAGTTGTGTGGATTAGAAAACATGACCCACACAAATGCTGTCTATGAGAGACCCACATCAGAACAAAGGACCTATGCAGACTGAAAGTAAAGGGGTGGAAAAATATATTCCAAGCAAATGGGCAGGGAAAAAAGAGACGAGGTAGCAATATTTACATCAGACAACATAGATTTCAAAACAGAGGCCATAAAAAAAGACCCAGAAGGTCACTTCATAATTCTCAAAGGAAGAATCCATCAAGAAGACATAAACATTGTAGACCTATATGCACCCAACATGGAAGCACCCAAATATATAAGGAAAATCTTGGAGGACTTCAAGAAAGATATACACAGCTGCACATTGATAGTAGGGGATTTTAACACCCCACTGTCAAAAATGGACAGATCTTCCAAACAAAATGTCAATAAGGATATTGTGGAAATGAACAACGCTTTAGATCAAATGGACTTAACCTACATACATAGAACCTTCCATCCCAAAGAAGCAAAATACATATTCTTTTCAAATGCACATGGGACACTTTCAAAGACAGACCACATGGTAGGACACAAAACAAGCCTCAACAAATTCAGGGAAATTGAAATTATAACAAGCATTTTCCCGGACCACAAGGGCTTGAAACTAGAAACCAACCTTAAGGAAAAAACTCAAAAACATTCAAACTCAAGGAGAGTGAATAGCATGTTTTGAAACAAGGAATGGGTCAATAATGAGATCAGGTAAGCAATAAAAAATTTTCTGGAAACAAATGAAAATGAACATACAACAGTTTAAAACCTATGGGACACAGCGAAGGCAGTCCTGAGAAGGAAGTTCATAGCAACACAGGCCTACTGTAAAAAGATAGAAACATTTCAAATAAATGACCTAACCCTACAGCTTCAATAGAGAACCAACAACAAACAAAGCCCAGAGTGAGCAGAAGGAAGGAAATAACCAAGATCAGAGCACAACTGTATGATATAGAGACGAAAAGTACATTTCACAGAATCAACATGTCCAGGAACTGGTTCTTTGAAAAGATAAATAAAATCGACAAGTCTTTAAGCAGACTCATCAAGAAAAAAAGGGAGAGGACCAAAAAAATAATATCAGAAATGAAAGAGGAGAAATAACAACTGATACCACAGAAATACAAAGGATTATAAGAAATTACTATGAGCAACTAACTATATGCCAAGAAATTTGAAAACCTGGGTGAAATGGACAAATTTCTAGAAAAATATAACCTTCCAACACTGAATGAAGAAGAAGCAGAAAGCCTGAACAGACCGATAACAGCTGGTGAAATTGAAGCAGTAATCAGAAAACTCCTGGCACACAAAAGCCCTGGATTGGACGGTTTCACAGGAGAATTTCACAGAACTTTTAAGGAAGAGCTAACCCCTATCCTTCACAGACTATTCCAAAAACTCCAAGAGGGAAGACTCCCAAACTTTTTTTAGGAGACCAGCATCATCCTAATCCCAAAACCACATAAAGACACAATCAAGAAAGAAAACTACAGGCAAATATTGCTGATGACACTAAAATCCTCAACAAAATACCAGCAAACTGCACATTAAAAAGATGATACACCATGATCAAGTAGGATTCATCCCAGGGATGCAGGGATGGTTAAATATTCACGAACCAATAAATGTAATACATCATATAGACAAAAGGAAAGACAAAAACCACATGATCATGTCAATAGATGCAGAAAAGCATTTGATAAGGTACAGCATCCATTCACGATAAAAACACTCAACAAAGTGGGAATAAAGGGGGCATACCTCAACATAATAAAGGCCATATATGAAAAACCTACAGCAAACACCACACTCAAAGAGCAAAAACTAAAAGCTTTCCCACTAAGATCAGGAACAAAATAAGGTTGTCCACTTTCACCTCTTCTGTTTAACATAGTATTGGAAGTCCTAGCCACAGCAATCAGACAAGAAAAAGAAATAAAAGGCATCCAAATTGGAAAGGAGGAAGTAAAACTATCACCGTTTCCAGATGACATAATGTACACAGAAAACCCCATAGACTTCACCAATAAACTACTCAACTTAATAAGTGAATTTGGCAAAATAGCAGGATACAAAGTCAATATTCAGACATTGAAGGTATTTTTGTACACCAACAATGAAATACCAGAATCAGAAATCAGGAAAAAAATCCCATTTGCTATAGCAAGAAGAAAAATAAAGTACCTAGGAATAAAGCTCACCAAGGAGGGAAAAGATCTGTTCGCAGGAAACTTTACAACAATGAAGAAAGAAATTAAGGAAGACACAAATAAATGGAAGTATATACCGTGTTCATGGATAAGAAGAATTAACATCATCAAAATGTCCATACTACCCAAAGCAATTTATAGATTCAATGCAATCCCTATTAAAATACCAAAGACATATTTCACAGACATAGAACAAACATTTAAAAAATTTATAAGGAACCATAAATGACCCTGAATAGCTGCAGCAATTTTGAGAAAGAACAAAGTAGGAGGGATCATAATACCTGACATCAAACTATAGTACAAGGCCTCTATAATCAAAACAGTCTGGTACTGGCATAACAACAGATGCATAGATCAATGGAACAGAATAGAGACCTTAGAAATAAACCAATGTCTTTATGGTCATTTAATATTCCAAAGGAGGCAGAAGCATAAAATGGAGTAAAAATAACCTCTTCAACAAATGATGTTGGGAGAGCTGGACAGCTACATGGAAAAAATTGAAATTCGACCACCAACTTATACCATACACACAAAAAAAACTCAAGATGGATAAAAGACTTAAATATAAGTCATGACACCATAAAAGTGCTAGAGGAGAACATAGGCAGGAAACTCTCAGGTATCCCATGCCATAATATTTTCACCGATATGTCCCCTAGAGCAAGGGACATAAAGGAAAGAATAAACAAATGGGACTTCATCAAAATAAGAAGCTTCTGCATAGCTAAAGAGAACATCAGCAAAATGAAAGGGGAACCAACTGTATGGGAAAATATATTTGCCAATCATACCTTGGACAGGGGTTTATCTTCAAAATATATAAAAAAACTCACACAGCTCCACTCCGGGAAGACAAACAATCCAGTTAAAAAGTCGGTAAAGGACCTGAACAGATACTTCTCCAAGGAAGACATAAACAAGGCCCAGAGGCATATGAAAGGATGCTCATCACTAGCCATCAGAGAAATGCAAATTAAAACCACAATGACATACCACTTCACACCAGTGAGAACGGCCATCATAAATAAATCAACAAACAATGGGTGCTGGTGAGGTTGTGGAGAAAAGGGAAGCCTAGTACACTGTTGGTGGGAATGCAGAGTGGTGCTCCCACTGTGGAAAACAGTTTGCAATTTCCTCAAAAAGCGAAAAATGGAACTGCCTTTTGACCCAGCTATTCCACTGCTGGGATTATACCCTAAGGCTCATAAAACACCAATTCAAAAGAACCTATGCACCTCAATGTTCATAGCAGCACAATTTACAATAGCCAGGTGCTGGAAGCAGCCTGGGGGCCCATTGGTAAATGAGTGGATCAAAAAACTGTGGTACATTTACACTATGCAGCAGAAAGAAACAAGGGACTCCCACCTTTCACAGCAGCATGGATGGAACTGTAGAGCATTTTGCTAATTGAGATAAGCCAGGCAGTGAAAGACAAATACCATATGATCTCACTTATAAGTGGAACCTAATCAACAAAACAAGCGAGCAAAATAGAACCAGAGACATGGAAATAAATAACAAACTGACAGTGACCAGAGGGGTGGGGGGAGATAACAGGGGAAAGAAGGGCAAGGGCCAATTGAAGAAACATGCATAAGGACCCATGGACAAAGACAACAGGGACAGGGGAGGTTTGGAAGTGGAAGGTCGGGGGTCGGTAGGGCAGGGGAGAGTAAAGGAATGGCGGGAAAATGGAAACAAGTGTAACTAAACAACAATAAAAAAAAAGAAACAAGAAAAAATAAAACTTAAAAAAAAAAAAATCCTCCCTCCTCTCTGATTTTTCCCACTATTACATAAATCATCCCTTCAGCTCTTTCCTCAGTAGTGGCTACTATTGGCATGGTCCAGCCACCAAACAAGAGAGTTTAACTAGTTACACAGGTCTGCCCCATCATGATTAGACAGTAAGCTCCTTGAAAAGCGACGCTGTAAGCTGTTCATCATTTTAGGAAATGTGAAATAGCTGTTTCTTGATTAAATTAATTTAAAGTAATCCATCCCCTCTGCCCCCACCCCCGCCCCCGTCATCTTATCTTTCTTTGGTTGAATTCTTAACTGCATTTGATCCCAGAAATATATGTTATAATTTAGAGCAAGAAAAGATTACATCCTTTTCTTTTAACTGAAGCAAAAGGGAATTTGGACTTCTCAGGCCAGAGAAACAGGAATATGCTCTCCCAGTCCTGGGCCCCCCCAATTTTTGATTTGATAGCCTGATAGCCACAAAGAGATATGGTTACTCAATTTGGGAATTAGCTTAACACTGTAACTAGGTGGGCCAACAGCAATCCATTAACCCAATATCCTTGATTTTTAAACCAAAAAGTCACTGGAGATATAGAGCTGCTTAAAATTTGTTTAGGAAAACTGACTGTTTTAGAAATGGGCCCTTAATATCTTATATACAGACCATACATTTTAAGGAGCCATTATGTTTTGTAGTTGTTTTTCAGAGTTGGAAAACGTAGTAGTGCAGTGGAAAGAACTAAGAAAGGGAGATCACAGTTCTGGTTCTATCTTTGCCACAAACCACTATGTGACTTAACTTCCTCTGGCTCTCTTTTCTCATCTGTAAAATGGAAAGACTCAGTTGTTAGGACCTGTCCAACTGAAGGACAGTGGTTTTACCATTTTATGATTGTCTATGGGTACTGGAAAGATGACTGCACATAATGTATTTCCTAAGCCTAGCCCTGGCCTGCTGGAGTACAGATGCAGTCAGCTTCCTTAGAAAAGACTATTTCAATACTACCTTTTTCTCTTGTGTGTGGTGCAGAGTTGAGAAAAAGGATGTATGGTGTCAGCTGGGTACTACACTTATCATGGGGATCACTTCATTAATTATAATAAATAGCTAATCATTATGGTACACACCTGAAACTAATATGATATTGAATGTCAACTTTAATTAAAAAAAAAAAAAAAAGAATCAAGCAGAGAGATAAAGGATACTTTCACTTCCTGGGGCTGAAGTGGTAACACTCTTTATCATTCCCCAGAATCCTGATGGTTTGTTATGTACCTCCCCCTTCTGGAACATAGTTCTCCGTGTCATTGCCATTCTGAAATTAAAAACAAAAAACAAATAACCAAAACACAAACACAAACACAACAAAAACCTCAGCAAGGAAGCATGGACCCTCGTAGTCCATTCTCCTTCACCTCCTAGTCTCATAACTGCCTCTGCCTTTTTCTGCTGAGGTGTTCAGGGAAGGATGCAAATTCTGGAGTCCTACTTTTCTATACCTTACAGCGGTGGGGAAACTATACACTCCCAAAAGCAATGAGGCCTAAGTGAAGATCACAGAATTTGGAGTAAGTAAGAAGTTTGAGGATTGGCTCTGTCACTCAGAAGCTGAGAGACCTTTGAGTTTTCATTTCCTCATCTCTGGATAGTTGTGAAGATCAATGAAGTAGTATAAAAGAACTCACGTTGTAAACGACAAAGTGATATACACATATTAATAATTATTACTATTATCATTTCAGGACAAAAAATACAGTAATAGCTAACACATGTAGCTAAAGGACCAGGTACAGGGTACGAACTCAATAAATGTTTCTTCCCAAAAGCAGAAAAAAAGAAAAACACTCCAGCAAAATCACATGAACCTGGACTCTTCTAAAACATCATCATTCTCCCTCTAACTCCAATCTCCTCCCACTACTGGATAAGTTAACAGGTAACTTACTATGCCTTACTATGCTTTCCCTTGTCCTCTTGGTGTTTGGAGAACCCACCACCTCAGCAGTAGCTGTTGGCATATTCTAGCCCACCACGTAGGTATAAAGAACAGTGTCTTTGTGAGGAAAACTAAGATCAGTTGTGCATAAATGGTTACTTGAAGGGTATAATGGGCCCAAACCTACAGGCCTAAAATAAACCAGTATGAATCTAATAAAAATAGAGTGGTAGGACTAAAGAAAAACTTAACTCAAGGTGGACATTTTTAGGTGACAGGGAATAGAAGTCCTGAGGAGGAAGAAACAGTATTGGTTATTTATATTTGGGACTAATGCAAATAATACCAATGGCATTTCTATGGGCTAAATTTTTTAAGCTATTGCCTAAAATGGTATTAACAATAAAGAATATTAGGCCTCGTTGATTTAGTTATTTCCTTCTCAAAATGACCTTTGCTTGGATACTGAGTGAGTGAAATATAGCTCCAATTTGGCCCTTTCTGCCTTTTCCTTTAATTATATGCACATTCACTGTAACTCAGCATTGCTGGAAGATATAATTAATAACCAAGAACAGGCTCAGATCTAGGGAGATTTTGAGTTGACAAGATTTAAAACTTTTAGTTTTCCTATTTTCATAGTTGGGAAAGCTGGAACAAGTATATAAATAAGGAAGAAGTTCTGTCCTATCCATTTAAAAGCACACTTCATCTTACCACACTGGATTAAAGAGAGGGAGCACAAAGCACATTTCTATTATCCTTAGTTTCAATGTCTACAATACAACAAACACAATGATTGGCCGTGGAGTAGAACTGGTTGATTACGTGAGGGACTGACCTTGAATTGTGGCCCTATACCAGGCTCACAGGTATGATCAACAGATGTGAGAATTGGGGGAATCAAGGTGGCAGAGGAGTAAGTGGAAGTTACAATGACCTCCTCCCAGTACCAATCTGGAATTACAACTAAATTGTGGAGAAACCACCTGGAACAAACAACTGAACAATAGTGAGAGAGGAGCCTTATTACCGTGGACAGAAGAATCAGCTTTAGCAACCTGACTGGTAAGGAGTGCGGTAGAGACTTGAGAAGGTGGGCAGGGCACCCATGGGCGGCAGCACCAGAAGGATATTGAAACGGCCAGTGGGATCTCCCTCAGAAGTGCAAGATCTAAACGATAAGCATGGAACTCCAGCCTATAGCACCAGAGCCCAAAAAGGACACAGATAACCAGCTGCAAAGAGCGGCGGGGTTGCTCTCTACCAGAGACAGGCAGTTGGAGACGCAAAGAGCCGTTTAAAGGGCCAATGCATAAAGTTTTATTTACAGCCACTTACCTTGGTCTCCGGCAAAGGTGGGGGCAAGCGGGTTAGAGAAACCTGAGGGGAGACTGGGGAAGAAGGCTTTGGGGAGAGAACTGAGAGACTAGCTGGTGGGATCCTGGTGCAGACTCATTCCCCATATGGCAGCAGCCATTTTGCTCAGGCAGACCACTTCGCTGAGCAGCAACAACATGACAGGACCCAATAACCCCACAACAGGAGGTAGTCTGCCCCACCTGTGCTGTCTAAGCTGCCCTGCTGAGTGCAGACTGGCAGCCACAGATAGTTGATCCCTGGAAAAAAGGGGCACAGAGTGATCTAGAGACATTTGAGAGACTGCAGACCGAGGCTTTGGGGAGAGAATGGGGAGAGTAGCCAGCAGGATCCAAGTGCTGATTCCTCCCCCATAAGGCAGAAGCCATCTGGCTCAGGCAGACCACTTCTCTGAGTGGCAGCAGCATGAGAGGACCCAATAACCCTCCGCCCTGCCCTGAGCTGTCTAAGCCAGCCTGCTGAGTGCAGAGTAACGAGATTAACAGCTGAAGGAGACAGCCACAGTCAGTAGACTCCTGGAAGTCTTGAGCAGACTGCCTAAGGTCAGCCAGGGTCAACTTCTGACATCATCAGAGGCAGGTCCAGAAAAAAAACAGCAGCGGTCTCTTACCACAGAAGTTCACATCACAGAGATAGGGAATCAAGACAGATCAATTTAAGAAGCAGAAGCAGAAAAGAAGAGTCTCACAAATAATGGGAAGACAAAGAAACACTCACCCACTCAAAGGGAAAGGAGGAATCTCACAAAGAGAACTAAATGAAACTGAGGCAAGTTAACTATCAGATACTGAGTTCCAAACAACGGTTCTAAGGAAGCTGGATGAGCTCTGTGAGCTCAGAAAGAATTACCAAAAACTACAGGCAAACTATGAGGAACTTACTGCAAACTATTTCAACATGAAAAAGGGCATAGAAACTATCAATAAAAGGCAAGAAGAAATGAAGAATGCAATTTCTGAATTGAAGAACACAGTAGAAGGAATCAAAAGCAGGCTAGATGGAGCAGAGGATCGAATCAGTGAGCTGGAGGGCAAGGTAGAATAAAGCTCCCTGAAAGAGCAAGAAAATTAAAAACAGACTCAAAAAGAATGAAGAGGCATTTAGGGAAATGCAGGACAACCTGAAACCTAATAATATCCATATAATAAGGATACCAGAAGGAGAAGAAGAGGAGCAAGGGATAGAGAACCTGTTGGAAAAAGTAATGATGGAAAACTTCCCTCATTTGAGGAGAGAAAAGTCACACAAGTCCAGGAAGCACAGCGGGTCCCATTTAAGAGGAACCCAGTGAGGCCCACTCCAAGACACATCATCATTAAAATGGCAAATATCAAAGACAAACAGAATCCTGAAGGAAGCAAGAGAGAAACAGGTAGTAACATACAAGGGAGCCCCGGTATGGCTAGCAGCTGACTTCTCAACAGAAACACTGCAAGCCAGAAGGGAATGGCAAGAAATAGTCCAAGTCATGAAAAGCAAAGGCCTGCAACCAAGACTGTTCTATCCATCAAGGCTCTCAAAATGGAAAGTGAAATAAGGTGTTTCCCAGACAAAAGAAGGCTGAAAGAATACACCTCCACCAAACTAGGATTGCAAAATATAGTAAAGGGACTGCTTTAAGATGAAGAAAAAGAGTCTATGAATACCCAGTTCCTTTCACAGTTGCGAATACTTGATATTACCAATATTTTTAATACTTACTAATCTGATAATGACAGTGATGTTATTTTGTTACTTTATTATTTGTTGAAACTATACCTGTTTTTGTACATTTCTTGCCTATTTATATTATTTCTAAAAAGCTTTAAATGACTTTTTGGTATTCTTTATCCATTTTTTGATTAAATGATTGTAGAATTTTTTTCCTTAAAAACACCTATTAACCCTTTTTTAGATGTGTTGCAAATACTTTCCTATTCTATTACTTGTCCTTTAACTTTTTAAAATATGTATATTACTATGTAGTCTTAAATGTTTAATATGGTCATATTGTCAATATTTTCCTTCATAGCTTTCTGCATTTGAATATTTTATTTCAGGGTAAGAAAAATATTATTATTATTATTTTTAATTAAAAAACCCTTAAAAATCAACTCTGTAATGTGGTGAATTAAAAAATAATTCTTTTTTTATTGGAAGCATCATCTGAAGTTATTTAAAGACCAGTAGAAAATGCATAATTGAAAGCTACTAATACAAAATTTCCCTCAAGAAACAAATTTTAAAATGTTTATTTTCAATCCTTAAAATTATTTTTTTCTTTTTTTAAAATTTATTTTCTCAAATACATTTGTCTCTGCCTACCCCCCACCACTTTCCTGTGCCCCCTTCCTCCTTACCTCCCACAGGTCTTCCTCTTTGGTTTTGTCCATGAGTCCTTGCTATATGTTCCTTGACTTTCCTCGTCCCTTCCTTTTCCCTGCCCCACCTCCCTCCTTCCCTCTTGTCTCTGTTGGTATTATTTTGTACTTTCTCCTAAAACTCCTTAGATTTTACATATTGATTTTTAACTCACCTGAATATTTCTTGTGTAATGTGTAAAATATGGCTTTATATTTGTTATATTTCAAGTAATAGTTGTCCATGCACCTTATTTTTTGAAAAAGCCTTATTTTCCCCACTGATTTTAAATATCAATTTAATCACATATTATGTTGTTAGACAGGTATATACATTTGTTTCTAGAATGCTCATTTTATTTCATTGATCTACTTGATTATTTCTGTGCTGGTGTCTTGTTTTAATTGCTCAGACTTTATAATGGACTTAAATTTTTTAATATTTTATAATGGATCTTGACATTTAAAAGAAAGAAAAAAAGAAAGAAAAAAGAAAGGAAGAAAGAAAGAACTCCTACTTTTTGCGACAACCTTGATAGAACTGGACAATATTATGTTAAGTGAAATAAGCCAGTTGGTAAAAGACAAATACCATATGATCTCACCTATAAGTGGACTCTATTCAACAAAATAAACTAATGAACAGAAAAAAACCACAGGCATGGAAACATGTAGCAGACTGAAAGTGACCAGAGGGGATGGGGAAAGAGGACGATGGTGGAAAGAAGGGGAAGGGACTAGACAAAGAACATGTATGAATGACCCATGGACATGGACAACAGAGTGGGAACTGACTGTGGGAGCGGAGGGTGGGGACAGGATCGGTGGAGGGAGGCAAAGGGGGAAAAACTGAAACAACTGTAGTAGAATAACCATGATTTAAAAATGTAAAAATATTCTCATTTTCAAGGTTGGGGATGGGAAGGACAGGGGAGAGTAATGGGGGGGAAATGGGGACAACTGTAATTGAACAATAAAAAAATGTTTAATATGTTTAAAAAGAAAGAAGTGAGAGTTGGCTGCACACAGACAAGCATGGCCTTGTTTTAAACAATTCCCTTCCACTTTCAATTTTATCACTTGCCTCTAAACCAATCTTCCTCTTACCAAATAAGTTGCTGATAAAAAATAAGTATTAATATATTTTAAAAAATAACAAATTTCCTGAAAAAGGGAAAGAATATAAGGTATAGAAGCAGTTGACTTTTGTCTGAAGCTTTTATCCACTATCATCACCACAACCACTATGATGATCATTATTGCCTCTTTGTAACAGGGGTAGGTCCAGAACAAGAATAATATGCATATACCTATTATTAGCTGAATGCCTTTTAAAAACCCACAGGCTAGAAAAACATATGCACTTGGCTGAGGTTTGGTGGTAGTTTTCAAGTGAAGAGTCTGAAAAATGTTTGCTATGGTTTAAATATGCTATTTCACTGTTTTCTGGTTTCCATCGTTTCTGGTGGGAAGTCAGCAATTACTTTTCTTTTTTAATTAAAAACATTTTACTTTGAGATTATAGGTTCACGTGTGGTTGTAAAATAATACAGAGAGATCTCATGCTTTCCCCAAATATCCCTGATGGAAACATCTTGCAAATTTATAGTACAATATCACAACCAGGGTATTGACACTTATACAGTCAAGATACAGAACATTTCCATCACTACAAGGATCCCTCATGCTGCCCTTGTATAGCCCACTTCCCTCCTCCCACATCCAAACCCTTTCTAAACTCTGGCAACCATGATCTGTTTTTCCATTTCCATTTTGTCATTTCAAAAATGTTATATAAATAGAATCATACAGTATGTAAACTTTGTGGACTGGCAATTCTTTCTCAAGAGTAGATCACCTTGTAGTTTTTGTCTACATTTTCTTAGGCTGTCTAGTATTTACTTTGCAAATGTATTGTTTAGTGATGAGGCAGATTTGGGCAGTTTATACTTAGATTCTACTGAGTGGTTGTATCCAGTATGTGTCAGGGGATAAAATGTGCAAACTTTTGGTGCACGGGATGACAGTCAATCAACTGAGCCACCTGGCTGGGGCTATACTTAAGATTCTAGATCTTATCCTTCTACATTTCTCTTGTTCCAAAAATTTCCTTTTAGATTTCCAGTTATTTTGCTGATTTGAACTCTATCAATCTGTATACCTGAGTGGATGCTGGGAGGGTGGATGGTAGTTGAAGAGTAACTGTGGACAAGAAAGCCACAAACATGCAGTTATCGGACACTCTTCTCAAATTTCTACTTATCTTTGTTCATTTCTCAGTGCTTTCAAATATTTTTTTCCATTTTTCCTGATTTTCTGTAGAAGAAATTGCTTGAACTCTTCATAGTGCCATTCCTAGAAATTTCCTCTACTATGGTTTGACAGCAGCTATGGCTAGTGTTGAAATTTCACCAGTGAATATATTTTTCCCTATCCCTATAAATTTTAAGGTCCCTATAAATTTTCAAAAGAGAAACTAAAAAAATGCTAACTCAAGGACAGAGGTTAAGAATTTTTCTTAATAGGTATAGCTTGCATTTAACTTTTACATGTTATAGACTCTAGTTTTTTGTTTTTTTTTTGTAAATCACAAACTATGTAAAAAAAAATAATACAGGATTTGTGGGTTGAAAGGGAACCTATAGACCCTTTAGTTAACCCTGGCATTTTACAAATGAGTAAACTGAGACAGTCTATTTGCTCAACATCACTTAGACAAGTTCATTGTAATGAGATTGTTTAGCTCAAGTTCTTTTCATTTTACCATGGTGTAGTTGAACAGCTGTATTTTCTATCTTCCATAAAACCATAATTTCAAAATTGTACTAGTATTGTTTATGAACAGAGACTATATTTCAGCTATAGCATAGATTACCAACATAAAATATTCAATATCTAAGTAACCTGAAGAACAAAACAAAATAAACACTTAATTCTCTCAACCTGAAAAAAAGCTGAAAGGCTTTGATCACTAAACCAGCATGCTCATACTATCTGAACTAGGTTTTTGATGTTTCCCAAATACTGTAAACTTCATCTTCTATTCAGTGTTCCAAGTGAGAAGAAAGTGGGGGCTTTCTTGCCCCCATTTTCAACTGTTAATTTTTTTGTTTATAACAGATGTTACTTTTCTTGTATGTCATCTCACTATGGCCCTTTGCAGTTAAATTGAAAGATGGTCTATAAATGTTTGTAAAAACATTTTTTCTACATCTTGATATATAGCAAGGGCAGTGTATGAATCCCAGTGTTGTCATGCTAGCTGTCTATCTGCCCTGTTGGCTCCACTGGGTGAATAACTATGGTAACTACGTCAAGGTGGGAAGCTGATTCACCTGAGAGACACTCGAATTAATAAGACCTACTGCAGGACCACAAACCATCCCAGAGCCTGACTAGACAAAGTCTATAGGGATATATCAGAGCCAATTACTAACCATTACTAGTGATAGAGTGGCTTAAAAGTGCACATCCAAACTTGACATGGGTCATAACTTTGTACTCATCTCTCGGTATGAATAAAAGAAATATAGTAAAAATTAGCCCTGGCTGGTGTGGCTCAGTGGATTGAGTGCCAGTGTGCAAACCAAAGGATCATCGGTTTGATTCCCAGCTAGGGCACATGCCTGGGTTGTGGGCCAGGTCCCCAGTAGGGGCCGTGTGAAAGGCAACCACATATTGATGTTTCTCTCCCTCTCTTTCCCCCTCACTCCCCCTCTGTCTAAAAATAAATAAATAAAATCTTTTAAAAAAAGAAGTATAGTAAAAATCAGAATGTTCTTAGGAATCAAAATAGTATTGTTTCCTATATGTTTTCTAATATTGACTATTGTTGCTTTTATTGTTTTTAAAATTTGCATTCATAGTCATTCATGTAAAAGAAACTGTACAGAATAAATGTAAACAAAACATTCAAATAAATAAATGTATACATATGTGAATCTACTTTCAATATCCCAGTAAAGATATATAGAAATGGAGACAAATAATTAGTTGGTGAATTTGGGCCTCTTCATCATTCTCATGTCTGTTGTTATTCCTTACATTAAGATTTCTTTGACTTGACTATGGGTCTTATTACAGGTGTTGAAGGAAGAAACATGAAATACAAAAACACTCATGCAATTTAAAACCTCTATGTCATCATTTTTATGGGTAATAATTTTAATAAAGAACTGATTAATAAATTTCATGAAGATAGAAATTGATTATCTTGTTCATCTTTGTATTTCTGTGTACTATTCAGCATTTAGTACAGTACTTGGAATAAACTAAGCTTTCTATAATTATTAAGTGAATGAATACATGAACAAATAAAGGTAGGCAAAGCATTAAAGGCAAACGATTATCCTGCAGAGATTATTAATAAGTTCAATAGTTTTTCTTAGCTATGTATTTTTCACTGTTCTAAGAACTTTACATGTTAGCTCATCATTATTATTTCCATTTTACAGATGAGGAAACCAAGACATAAGGAGATCAAGTAACTAGTTTAAGGTCTCTATGAGTTGTAGGCCAAGGATTCAAATTCAGGCAGTCTGAGTCTAAAGCTTTTACCCACTGTGATACATATTTCTAGAAACGCCATTTTGAAAACATACATTTCAAAACTTTTAATGTAATAAAAACAACAATAGCTGCAGACAAATAATTTTTTAAAGTATAGAAAAACAAGTTGAAAAGTCATGAAAAAGTTTGTAAAAATTCAGGACAAAAGGCTTTTAAAACATTTGGTGTAGAACACCTTCAAATATAAATTATTCTAATGACTTATCTCAAGATAATTTATCTGAAGTCAGGAAATAGGTTGTATTTGAAAATTTTCTTTCACACAGGACTAGACATTAAGTCTTTGATGACACCTTAGTTTATAATGAAAATGAGTAAGAGGAAATTCTATTAGCATCAATTCATAGCCAAATTTTCTTGTTGAGAATTCTGACAGCACAGGTTTTTTTAATGTGCTGATCTTACCTTTTCTTTTTGCTTATTATCATATCCATGGTTTGGAGCAGTCGCCGTTCCAGGGCTAGAATATCTATGTCAGTCACATTCCTATAGCAAGCACAAACTGTTAGCAATGTTTTGGGGTCCCATCCTTGGGCATAATACAAGGCAGCTGGAGAAAAACATAAGCTTCAATTGTTACCTAGCAATTCAAGAACCTGTCTTTTTCTATAAAATAGAAAGAAAATATTAAGATGAGCAAGAAAGCATTTGCCGTCATTTTTATAGCTAATACTTCTGGGGTCTCAGGGCAATCAAAGGTAACTAGCTCTCTTACAGACTTTCTTAGCTTTCATTCAGTGACATTTATGATGCATGTGTAAGCATACTTTTAACTTGGCATTGTCCTCTACTGTTCCACTTTTGAGAGGAACTAATTTGTTGGGATTAGCTCATGTTACAAAGCACTAGAAATGTGCCTTTAAAAGGGGGGGTGAGGTGAGTAGGGAGTGGAGAGGGTGAAATTGAAATTACAATTAAAATAAATAAATAAATGTAGGACAAATAAGGGCAAGCAATATAAGTAATAAGATTATTTAGAAAGATTCCTAGGCAATGTCCACAAGGACAGAGGAAAATAATAGATATTAGACAGTGTCATACGTCTATTATTTAAGTATTAATGATGGTGGCATGATATAATGTGTATTCAAGAAGTAAAGGGTAAAAAAGAAGAGACAAAGTTCTTATTACCTGAGGAAGTAGGACATGTAAGTGTATGGGCAGTTGACAGCACCGAATCCAGAAAGAAGAGCCATGAGAGTCACACCAATCACACCTACCCGGCTGATGAGCTGCTCTATGGACAAGATTCCTGAAAACATCAAAGTGCATTAATGCCCAGGTAATAGAGATGAAACAGCTTTCATCTGCATTGCAAAAGGAGTCATCATTAAAATTATCAACCATTCCATACAACTAACAGAGGCCAAATTTTATTACTATGTAGATAATCTATAATAAATATATGAGTCTACTGATTTTTCTCTTTTTCATATGCTTCCCAGAATCATCTCTATTATTGGATGATGGTAATAATAAAATAATAACAACATAATTACAAATAATACTATTGACTGTTTACTTGAGGTAGTATGAACTCTAACAAAGCAAAGCACTTTCAGTAAAAGTTTTGGCAAAAAACCCCAAGAAAACAGGAAAGTAAATCTACTGGAATAGTATAAATAACAGGTAGCACTTTCTGCTCTAATCACCTTTAATATATACATTTCCCCCTTAGGTCATAAGCTCTTTAGCTTATGTGTTACTCATATTTTTTAAAACCTAAACAATCTTTTCCTTCCTTCCTTCCTTCCTCCCTCCCTCCCTCCCTTTCTGTATATTTTATTGATTATGCTATTACAGTTATCCCACTTCTGTTCCCTTTATCCCTTCCACTTGGTATGCCCATTCCCTCCAGCATTCCCCTACTTAGTTCTTCCATGGGCTGTACATACACATTCTTTGGCTTCTCCATTTCCTATATTATCCTTAACCTCCCTGTGTTGCAGCCTCTCTAGGCTGGGCAGGTCCACTCAGAGCTCAGGTAGATGGAAGATGCATGGAGCTGTGGGGATGCTTGACATGCCTTTATTTGGGAGAGCCACACAGGCCACAAGCCTGTGTCCAAGTCGGCGCCCTGACTCTCCACCTCATCCAAAGCTCCTACCCTTAAGTATTAGCCCCAAACAGAGCAGGCTGCAGGCCAGAAAGTGAAGTAACTAGCAGGAGTTGCACATGCAAGCCTACTCAAAGCTACAGGACAGTTTATTGCACTTGGGCTCAAGGCCGTGAGACCCGGGTTCAAGGCATTGAGAACACTGCTTTATCAGACTCCTCCAAGGTTGTGAGAAGTGGCGCCCTCCAGTTACCCAGGCATCTGGGTGAGGGAGCCAGACTGCCTCCACTTACCCTATACTCCTCATGTCTATTTCGTACTTACTAATTATGCTTCTTATTCCCTGTACCTTCCCCCCACCCTTATTCTCCTTCCCCTTCCCCGCTGATAACCCTCCACGTGATCTCTGTTTCTATGATTCTGTTCATGTTCTAGTTGCCTGCTTAGTTTGTTTTTGTTTTTAGGTTCAGTTATTGATGGTTGTGAGTTTGTTGTCATTTTACTCTTCATAGTTTTGGTCTCTTTTTTTCCTTAGCTAAGTCCCTTTAACACTTATATAATAAGAACTTGGTGATGATGAACTCCATTAGCTTCACCTTATCTGGGAAGTACTTTATCTGCCTTTCCATTTTAATGACAGTTTTGCTGGATAGAGTAATCTTGGATGCAGATTCTTGCTTTTTATGACTTTGAATATTTCTTTCCAGTCCCTTCTTGCCAATAAGATTTCTTTTGAGAAATCAGCTGATAGTCTTGTGGGCACTCCTTTGTAAGTAACTGTCTCCTTTTCTCTTGCTGCTTTACGATTCTCTCCTTATCTTATGTTTAATTATGATGTGTCTTGGTGTGGACCTCTTAGAGTCCAACTTGCTTGGGACTGTCTGAGCTTCCTGGACTTGTATGTCTATTTCCTTTGCCAAATTGGGGAATTTTTCTTTCATTATTTTTTCAAGTCAGTTTTCAATGTTTTGCTCTTCCTCTTCTCCCGGCACCCCTAAAATTCAGACGTTGGAACATTTAAAGTTGTCCTGCAGGTTCCTAAGCCTCTCCTCATTTTTTAAAATTCTTGTTTTTTCATTCTGTTCTGGTTGAATGTTTATCTCTTCCTTCTGTTCCCAATCATTGATTTGAGTCCTGGTTTCCTTCCCCTCACTGTTGGTTTCCTGTATATTTTTCTTTATTTCACTTTGTATAGCTTTCATTTCTTCCTTTATTTTGTGGCGATACTCAATCATTTCTGCAAGCATCCTGATAACCGGTGTTTTGAACTCTGCATCTGATAGGTTGGTTATCTCAGTGCCCCTAGTTCTTCTTCTAGAATTTCGATCTATTCTTTCATTTGGGTCATATTTCTTTGTCTCAGTGCACCTGTTACATTGTAAGAGGTGGAGCCTTAGGTATTCACCAGGGTGGGGCCACCCACTTCTGCTGCATTGTGGTGCTGTATGTGTGGGAGGAGTGACCGAAGGAACAATGTTGCTTGCTCAGTTCTCACCCCTCTTTCAGTAACTTACCTCACTTCTCACAAGCGAATTGTGCTCTTCCATTTGCTTCCCTGGTACTGATTCATGGGTGGGTGGGTTTGTGTACATTCTAGGACCCTGTGTGCCCCTCCAACTAATTCTCCTGTGAGGCTGGGTGTGTCTCCCAGTGCTGCAACCCCTATAAGTTTTTACAGCCCAAGATTTTGAGGCTTTATTTTCCCCACTGGAACCCTGGGTTGTGCCGTCTCACTCCCCAGTTGTTCCTCCTGATTTATCTGCACATGAATGTAGGATTGCCCAGTCTGCCAGCTACTGCCTCACTCACCTGGTCTGCCAGCTGCTGCCTTGCTGGGCGTCCTCTCTGCCCTGGCTGACCATCTTTGTCCCTCCTACCAGTCTGGATGAATGTTTCTTCTTTAACTCCTTAGTTGTTAGACTTCTATACAGTTCAATTTTCTGGAAGTTCTGTTTGTTTTTGTTTTGAAATTGGTTGTTATCCTTTTGGTTGTGCAAGGAAGTGAAGTGTTACCTAAGCCTCCTCCTTGGCCAGAAGACATATGTTATTCATTTTTACCATCAATAAGTGCATAATCATCTTAAAAATGGACTGAATTTATGGTTGAATAAGTAATTCAAAGGCAAATACATGCATTTTAGTTATATATTGGTTATATTCTAATTATCAATTATGTCCTTATTTGAGAATGCTGAAAATCAACCAAGTAGTTAAAATAAATGCTGCTATTGATGTATTTGGGATAAATAAGAGAAAGCCATGCTGAAGAATAACTCAGAACATTTGGTGCCACAGGAAAAACAATAGTTTTAATTTGTTTTTCACTTTCTATTTCTAGGATAGAATCCACTTCAGCCATTTACTTTTATGGCCAAATGCCAGGGCTTCCATTTAGGAATTCTCTTAGCTTTGAAATGGAAAACTCTAGTATTTGAGTCCCCTTGGTCTTCCATTTCCACTACACCATTTTAGAACTCTTTGGGAGCTCTGGTCTCTAGTCTTTTGCTTTCCACTACCTTCCATTTCCTTCTTCATTGAGCCTAGACTCCAGGATTGCTTGCTTCAACTTCTCTCACCAGGACTCCTGGTCCTCTACTCTCCTTCAGAAGCACTGATCCTGCAAACACCCAACTCTAAATCAACCTAACACTCTTCCTTTCCATGCCCATATCTGAACTGCCTCAAACTGCTAGAATACGTACTGATATTGGTGCCATTACCAATTTGCAGCCTTCAGTCTTAACAGAGCTCACAACACTACTGAGGAACCCTTTTCTTGCTCTTGGGCAGCCATCTCTCCCACTCCCCTTGGCAGATACTCTCTAACCATTTTTCCAACCCTTGTTCTCCATAGCTAATGCCCTTATTTTATAAGCAATGTTATTAGAAATGAACTCCACTCTACTATAAATATTACATCTCCAATCATCCTCTCAACTTGTCCCCCTCAGAACAATATGGTGCTTAAAGCTAAGACTTCTCTACTTGTGCTTTTGATCTTATTCCCTTTCCAGAGCCTCCGGAATCTTGTTCCATTGCCCGTCCTCTCTCTTGTATCTCCAGTTTTGCCTTCTTTGCTGGTTCTTTCCCTTCAGGTTCAAGTCTCTTTCCTAAGAAAAAGTCTGTCCTTAGCCTTCAGTTTATGTCTACTTACCAATCCTCTCTATTTTCCCCTTTAATAGCCAAGCTTCTTGAAAGAAGTTTACACTCATTGTCACCTCTTCCTCACTTCCACTTATTCCTCAACTGGCCGTAATTCAGCTTTCATCCCATTCTTCTACACTGGCTGAGTCTGCTTTCATTAATAATAGTAATGGCAATATAATAGGTAACATTCATGAAGCACCTATTATATGCCAGGTACTGTTCTAAGCATTCTACTTATATTAATTCATTTTTTCTTCCTAACAACCCTATGGGGTAGATATTATTGAAAACCTCACATTACAGTGAGGAAATGGAAGCATGAAGAGGTTAAGTATCTTAGTCAAGGTCACACAGCTACCAAATGGTAGAGTAAGGATTCAAACCCTAAAGTTTAGCTCCAGAGGTTGGGCTCTTACCCATTACTACGATATGGCCATACATTTTCTTCTGGTTGCAAAATTCAGTGACATTTTCCAATCCTTGTTTTATTTGATCTTCTATGATATGGAATTTTTCCTATTTAAAATTATCTTCCTTTCTTGGCTTCATATTACCATTTCCCTCAGTATTCCCTTTTATTTCTCCAGTTGCTTTTTTTGGTCTTTTGTTCTGCATGGACCAGAATTCTCTCTTTCATTTCAACCTGTATGTCTTCCTTGGGTGATCTCACCCATTTCCTCAGGTTCATCTAATGGCACTTAGCTGATGATATCTAATTTCTTTAGATTCCTGGAGTTAGCTCCATGAGAACTAATAAATTCATTATCCTTCTCCTAAGTTCCTGACTTTGTATCCAATTGCCTACTGAACATCAACATATCCCAAGCTCAAATTATTGTCCTTTTCCTGCATGGCCTAGCTTAGGAAATGACATCATCAACTATCTAGTCACCAAAATAAAAAATCTATACCACTGCTCTCCATTTTGTCTTGGCATACTCCAAGGTCTTTTTTAAGATTTACATGATGTCTGTTGTGCCTTCTTGCTGGTTCTACCTTTGGTCTTATCCTTTCACTCTCAGCTTAAATGCGGAAAAGTTGACTCTAAC